ATGGGAATAATATTATCCTTGGGTTGTTTTGAATGGATGGTTAGACTAAAATTTAACTCAGTTAACTAGTCTTGGTATAGTATGAAGATTATTACAGGAAAAAGAAAAAAAGGATTAACCTGTGGTCCCCACATATGTGGCACAAATAACCATGTACCAGAGGGTTTGACAATTCTATGACCATTTCCTGGGAATCCTATAGGATTTAGAGAAATGATTGGAAAGACACAGGAGGCATTGGGCAGTCAGAAAGGAGAGGGACTTGGCACGACTTAATTCTGAAAACACTGGGCAGTAGTAAGGCTCATATCTGAATTATCATGTCCTCAACTTAGAGTATAAGGGACACTTGTTAACTACTTCTCAAATGGCTGCACAAGTAACAGCGTTGTGAGGACAGCATCCAGATCAGCTGTCTGCCATCATAGAAAGCTCCAGGGCAGCAGACTAGGAAGCGGTGATACGCATTGCCTCGCTGGGCATTCTCCGCATCACTTTCCGGGTGTGGCTAAACTGGAGTGATAGCATCCATCAGTGGTCAGAGAGAGCAGAGTCTAAGCCTAACTCAGGGTTCACTGGCACATTGTTCATGCTAATAATCAAGGAACCCATGACGCCATGAACCAGCAGCCCTTGGCTATGTCCACTGGCCACAAGGCACCCAGTGGCCCTTTGAGGCATAAAAATTATTCTGGTATGTGTATATCAGAATAGTATTGTAATGAGAACAATCTAATATTTTGGTTCTGTTCAATTTCCCTTCCCTTTTGAGACCTGAAATAACTTCAGATTATTAAACTTTATGCAGGGAGCGGAGGTCAGGGCCCATTAGCTTGAAGTTTCGATGCTTTCTTAGCATTGAACAGTAGTCCACTGAGCACCTTGGTGGCTTAAGGCAAATGTAGTTTGCTGAATGTTGGGAAAGGGAAAGTGCCTCCATCGAGACTGTGTCAATTATAATGTCACCCTCTAAATGTCTCTGTGGGAGGTAGTCCTGGGCTTGCTAGACAGCAGGCCTGTCTCCTCATGAAGTCACAAAACCTGGGTTTCTGGCAGGCTGGTCCATTTCATACTTGCTGCCTGAAGAGATGAGTGAATGTACTTGAAAAACAGACTGGCAAGACGCCATGGTAGGCAAGACGCCATGGGTAAGGACACTCTGGTGTCTTCTCACCATAGCAGGACTTTGTCCTTGGCTGTGAATGACAAGGACTGGCTGGGAGCTCTTTCCTGGAGAAGGGGATGCTTGCTTATTTACTGATGAATATTCCACCAGGAGTAACTGCCATGCGTGTCCATGGTGAGCCCTTCCCAGATGTGTCCACGTTCTTTCCATCTTGTCTTTTGGAGAGGCTCATTTGCTAACCTTCACAGTGAGTTCTCCTTGGGGGCCACCCTCTGTTAGCTCACTGTGCCTCCCTGTTACTTATTCTCCTCCATGTCGCCCTTCCTAATGGGCTTACTTTGTCCCCTCATGTCCTCACCTCTCTGCCCGCCAGAACGAACCTCCAGGAACCTTGGCATCTGTGTGTTTTATGCACTTCCCTGTCCTAAAGTCTGCAATAAGTCTGGTACCTCCTCAGTGTGGAATATTCTGGGAATCACTGCAGGCTAGGATCACATTACTTTTCTTCCTCTAAATGCCCAGAGAAAGCTCAAGAATAAGGTATCAGAAGGAAACAGTCAGTTGTACCTTCCATAAAGAATCAGGAACAGATGAATCAGGGAAAATTGTCTACAGGCAGAAAATGTCCGTCAACCCCATCATTGTTTGTCATCCAAAGAGCTATCATAAGTGAGGGGGTTATCAGGGCTATTGACCAAGTGGCTCAGAGTCACGGCATTTGCCCAGCATGCCTGGTTACCAAACAGTACCAAAAATAAAAAATAAAAAGTTTGCAAAAGTAAAAATGGCTTGAGGAAGGGCTATGAACACTGAAGAAAGCCCCAAAGACCCCATGTTGGAGAAGGAAGCACTGAGGGCCATGGCCTGCAGTCCCTGGGAGTTTTATCAAGCAAGACTGTAAAGGCTTTGGAGTGAGGGCCACCTCTGTGATGTGTGTGAGTGACCCTCAGGGTCAACAACTTTATTAAAACTTTACCTGGTATCACAGGACAGTGATGTTTTGTGGTTTCATCAGAGGCACCCTAAGGAATTGGTGCCTGTAAGTCAGAGGACAGCCTTGTGTATTGGTCCTCACCTGCCACCTTGTGTGATACAGGACCACTTGCCTTTCTATTGAGTACATCAGGCTACCTGGCCCACAGGCTCCTGGGGATTATCTAGTCTCTGCCTCTCCCCTCTTATCATGGGAGTACTGGGATTATAGACAACACACTGCTGTTTAACATGGGTTCTGAGGATGTGACCTGAGGTCTCCACACTTGCATTGTGAGCTCTCTACCCACTGAGCCATCTTTACAGCACCCTGTCTCTTCTTCATGGCCAAACTTTCCCCTCAACTTATCCTGGAGTCTTTTCTAATTAACTGGGATACTCTCCAGAGACTGGTCTCTTCTGGATGGAGCTGGTCATAGCCTGTCTCCACAGCACCTAGCTTTGTATGTCTGAGAATGAGCTTCAGGCCCCAGGGTCTTCATGGAGGGTTGCTCTCAAACGGAGAAGACCTGCACTTGGCCTTGGCCAAGCAGAGGAGAGCTGCCCTCAGTGCCTTGTGTAATGCACTGGTCTCTTCCACACCAAGCCTTTCTAAATTGAAACTATAACACTCTGTCATTCAGTGGAGCTTTTCTGCATTACTTTGATGCCAGCATTAATCTGTCTGCCAAGGAAACATACAAAGATTCCAAAGGGAACCCTGTCACTGTCCTACTTATCCGTCTCGACTTATCTTTCCATTCGCCAGAGCAGGACTCGACTTGGTTTGTTTATTTGTGGTTTGAATTCTACTCCAGTTAACCTAAGAGTGGTTTGGGAGGAGCAGAGGAATGGTGTCATCAGCATGGCTGCATGAATCCTCAGGACCCAGAAATATTGGCAAACTAAATCATAATGTGGCAATTCCTCTGCCATATTTAGGGAGACATAGCTGCTTGTGTTGGCCTGGCCAGTTGATTGAGATCCAATAAGAATGTCATCCTGTAACTGTCTCCAGAGGGAGGTATGCCTGGGTGTGCTGGACAGTAGGCTTCCTTGCTTCCTCACTAAGTCATAAAACCTTAGGGGTTTCTGGAAGGCCTGTTCTTGTTATCTTCAATGCCTCAAGAGATCAGAAAGTGCATATATAAGAGAGAATGGTATGCTCTGTATTGGGCAATTATATGATTCAGTTTTCTGTTGCTATTACAAAATGTTTGGTGGTGCATAGTATATAAAGAAAAGGAGGTTTATTCAGCATATAGTTTAGAGTTTGTTCAAATGTGTGGTGACAACATCTGTGCCACCCTAGTAGGAGCCTCGAGGCAAAAGATATCACAATGGCAAAAGGCGTGTAAGAGGAAGCAGTCATGTGGCAAGACAGGAAGCCAGAATGATTCTGTAAGCTTGTTCTTTTAATGTCTCATTTTAGTGGGAACTAGTCAGGGTCTCTCGGGAGCTACATCCTTTCTGATAGTAGCACCCCACCTTCCAGGAGACCCCACCTGTGTAAGGCCCCTCACCTCCCAGAACAGCTTACTGGAGCCGCTCTTTGAGTATCTGGGGGAACCCACTAACCCATACCCATAACACAGGCTGCTGTGGAAAAGTCCCCAGTTCTTGCAACTCACAGAAGTGTTTCCAGCCCAGAGGACACCGGGGGCTATAGGCTTTTCTCTCTCTGGGAGTCAGGGCCAGATACCAACTGCGGCTCCTCTAGCTCCTGGTCATTTGAGAGAAAGAGAAAGGTCGTCTTAAGGGAGGAAGAAGTCAGTTCAATACCACAGAGCCAATATCACTTCTGCTCACAGCCCATTGCCAAGGATTAGTCACAAGGCCCACTAGGTACCAAGTGCCTGGACAGCTCCTCTAGACCCCAGAAAGGGATCAGCACTCTGTGACTAACCACACCCCACCCTTTAGAACCCTGAAATTTATAGGCAAAGCAAGAGCAAGACCAGTGTTTCTGGACCACCTCCATTTGCTAAGAGCTTTGCCACACAAAAACTGGCTTGTTCTTCTTCCTAGGCGTAAATGCCTATGTCAACCTGATCTCTAGTAGGACGGACCACATATCCCCTGAAACCGTGGATCCATAAGCACCATCGTGTGTTCATTTTACTCTTTGCACATGCCAATAAAGACATTGATATATTTCTTTGTTATAGGTTCTAGGCCCTAAGACTTTATTTCCTACACCATCACCCCTGTGGTGGTTTGAATGTGAATGGCCTCAATAGGCTCATCAGGTTGCATACATGGTTCCCCATTGGTGGAACTGTTTAGGAACGATTAGAAGGTGTGGCCTTTTTGGAAGAGGAGGGTCACTGGGGGCTGGGCTCTGAGGTTTCAAAAACATAGTTGCCATTTCCAGTCTGTCCCTGTCTCTGTCTCTCTGCCTATGTCTCCCTGATTGTCTCTCGTATCTCTTCAGTGTCTCTGTCTCTGTCTCTGCCTCCCCACCGCCTATCTTTCCCTCTCTCCCTCTCCCTGTCTCTGCCTCCTGCTCGTGGATCCAGAAATGAACTCTCAGCTATGCCTGCCCAAGGAAATGATTTCTTTTATAGGTTGCCTTGGTCATAGTGTTTTGTCACAGCAATAGGAAAGCAACTAATACAGCCTCGTTGAAGAACTATTAATAGCACTGCGATGTGACTCTGTCTAAAGCTATCGCTGGGAAACTGCCAAAAAAAATCACTTCTTTTTTGATAAAGCCCTTCTTCCTCACCACATGGGGATGAAAGCCAGGAGTAGAGTCTACCGGTGCCTCATTTGAGTGTGTTTAAGCAAGCTGTCTTCATTGAAATAGCTGTACATCACTTCCAGAAGGCATCCTGGGCCACAGTGCCTGAAGACAGAAGGCCACTGGGGCCTGTGACTCACTGAGGCCTTTCCTTCTCAGGTTCCCATTCCCCATGGTGTTCAGCAGCTGTAGCAGGAAGGACCTGGAGGCTAGCCTGGAGAAGGGAATGGGGATGTGCCTCTTCAACCTGCCAGAGGTCAAGCAGGCCTTTGGGGGCCGGAAGTGTGGAAATGGCTACGTGGAAGAGGGAGAAGAGTGTGACTGCGGGGAACCAGAGGTAAGGGGGCCCTCTCCATGGTGTCTACTGTTGCCTCTGCTTGGGAAGAGGGGGAACTTGGGAGAGCTCAGAGAGCAAAATGGACATGCTAAAACCTGGTGATAGGCTGGAAAGATGGCTCACTTGGTAAAGGGCTTGCCACGCAACCAGGAGAACCTTAGTTCCTAAAAACTTGCATGGAGAAGCTGGGTATGGTGGTGTGGGCCTGCAGTCCTGGCACTAGAGAGGCAGAGATAGGTAGATCCCAGAAACATACTAGCCACTCAGCTCTAGAAGTCCGGGTGAGAGACCTTATCCCAAAAACAAAGTAGAGAGAAGCTGAGGAATGATACTTGATGTTGACCTCTGACCTACACATACACGGGGGGAGGGGGAGGGGAGGAGGAGGAGATAATGGGTTGGTAGTGAGGATGCTGGTGTAATAGAGATTCCCTGGGAAATTTCCATATGACTACCTTGAACAAGCCCCCCCAAAGGTGATGGCTTTACTGCAGTGTTAGCCATGTATAGAGTTAGCTGTATCACTAGGTTTTAATGGGGGAGTTCCTTCTCCTCTATTGAAGGGTGCCCCATTCTTAGGGTGATGAGGATGAGAACAATTTTTTTAAAAAAGCACTTAGCTCTGAGTTTCTTGGAAAGCAAGGCTCTGGGAGTCCAGCTTCAAGGGGTCCTCGGCCCCATGCCTCTCTCTTTGCAAAGCCTGCTGTGAAAGGGGAGTGGGGATACACAGTGCTGAGCTGAGCACTTTCTGTTTAGTTGAGATTCTTTCCCAGCCTCCTCTGTGTGCACAGCCGAGGCTCCAGAGGACCCATCCATTCAGCTTATTAGTTCTCAGGAGCAGCAAGAAAAAGCAACCAGCACTGGCATCTGGCACCACTCTTACTGAACCCTGCTCTCCAGCCAATCTCTGGGAAGTTTCTTGTTTGTATAGGTCCAAGATGAATCTGGTCAACATAAAACATATCAGTCACTTGTCACTCCCTACGTCGTCTTGAGGAAGAACAACAAAGAGAACACTGTCACCTCCCAGCTTCACAAGTGTCCCACACACAACTTGGAGGAGATTGCATTCAGAGTAAATCAAAGCTGAGGGTTTGTACAGCAGGTGGGCTGGGGCTCCCGCCATGAGAACATATGCAAGCCAGAATTGGAGGCAGGTCTGAGGCAGGCTTAGCCAGGTCTATAGGTGGGCTTCACAATGGCTCAAGAAACCAGCATCTTAGAGGGCTCCTTTGGAAGGAAAGCTGAGACAGGAAGCTGAAGCAGCTCATGTATTCCTGTTCTCATCACAGGAATAATAGAATCTTCATCCTAGCCTGTCTCCAAGTCCCCGAGGAGGCTGGATGCCAGCAGGAATGCTCTTGTTCTCACAGGTTTTGAGAGAAAGTGCACAGCGCTAGGGGGGGGGTAGGGGTAATCAGATAGAGTGAGGAGAGATGGAAGTAGTTTTGTGTCCTTGACAAACTCAGAACTTATCTATGGTAATGGCCTTGTCCACAGGGGTGGTTAATTTTGCTCACAGTGAGCAGGGAGCAGTTGCTGGCCAGGAACAAGTCCTAATTATAGTACTACAGAATGGCTTCAAGATTAACAGAGGAAAAAGTGAAGCCATCATGGGATAGTTTGTACAAAGGAGAAAAGTCCCTTGGAGGCCTTGTTAATTGCTTAAAGAAACAACCCAATTAGTTTAAATTGCCCACATTTCTCAGGAGAGGCCATGTTAACTTAAGATGGTTTGTCTTTGATCTGGATGCCTTACAATTATTTATTAATGCAAATAAATCTGATGATGGTTCTTCATGGAACCCTGAATGTTGAGATTTGGAATGATTCCACTGGCAGTCATTCACCCCTGTCTGACTCCATTACCATCTACCGCTGTCACTGTGCCCACAGCTGCCATCACTGCCATGTCCAATACCATCATCACCACCCTCTCTCCACACCACCATCTTCACACCCCACCATTAGTTACCATCCCCACAACTATGTCACTATCTTTAGCATACCTGCATCACTACCCCACCCACCACTGCTGCCACACCAGTGTCCCTACCACCATTGTCACTGTTGCTGTCACTGCATCCTGGCCATCATCATCAACATCCTCAACATTATCACCACCAGCACCGCATCAGCACCATCACCACTAGCACTAGCTAGCATTGCTGTCACCACCAGCACCAACGTACCAGTAGACCCTTGAGTTCCTATTGCCAGCTACTTGCGTCCTGCTCCTTCATCTCTACAAAGGAATCCTACAGCCATGGATAGGTGCTTGATATCTCTCTAGGGACCTCACCACACTGTGGGGAAGTGTTGACTGTGACAAACTCCTCATTAGCTAGAGCCAAATTCTGCTTGCAATGTAGTTTCCAACTTGGTATTTCTGTGGTTAGGGTCCTCTTTTTTCATAAAGAGGTTTCTTGATAGTTTAAGAAAACTCCCTTCTCCTCCTCAAAAGCTCTTCTTCCCAAGAAGTCTGCTAACAGCACAGTGAAACTTGTGCCTCACTGGTGTCATTTTAATGTACTATTTTTTATGTTTTAAGTGTAGACTCAGACTTCAGTTGCGTCTAGCCATGTGTACTAGTTTCGTTCTCTTGTAGTGCTAAAACACTCTGACCAAAAGTAACGTAGGGGAGGAAAGAATTCCCTTGGCTTACATCATTGAAGAAAGTTGGGGAAGGAACTCAAGCAAGAACATGAAGCAGAAACCATAGAGGGACACTCCTTGTAGGCTCACTCTTATGCTCATGCTCAGACAGCTTCCTTTTTCAGCCCAGAATCACCTGCCCAATGATTGGCACTATCCACAGTGAGCTGGCCCATCCTAAATCAACTCACAGTCAAGACAACCTCCCAAGGATATGCCCAATCTGTTCTGGAAAAACCCTTGACTGAAACTCCCTTCTAGGATGACTCTAGGCTGTGTCAAGCTTACAAGGACACCAAACTTCTTTGCCTGAGACTTTCATTCAGACCTACTTCCTGGGCTCTTTTTCCTGGTCCCCTGTGCCCAGGTCCTGCAGACACTCCTCCTGCTGTTAACCAAAACAAACCATGCACCCCTTGGCCCAAGGGGGACTTGGTATGTCACATCAGGGAAACAGAGAATGACAGATTAGTGTGATATACACCAGCACACAGCTGGAACAAGCCTGTGTGTGCCCCATCTTTTCTAGGAAGGTACACTATAGTTTTACCCCAGCTCATGGTGACTAAGAATCAACATCTGCTTCTCACAGTCCAAGAAAGACTGTTTGGTCCTTACACAGGTTCTTTAATTAGGCTTCATTATTCTTATTTGGAGACCTGACATTCATTGACTGTTGTTTCTCTGCTGACTACTAAAATAGTAAATGCATCAATAGACAAGAAATTTGTCTCTTCTGAGAAATACAGTAGTACAGAAATAGATTTGAGGTAGTTAATTGTTCTTACCTTCTGGTAGAAGGCATTACGGATAACCCACCCACTCTCCCATCTAACCAGGCTGGTAACACTGCCCCATCTCATTTAAAGTCAAGGATACTAGTCCCTCACACATCTTCTAAACGTCATTATCTCTCTCGTGTAATTGATCCCCTTTGAAGTCATTCCACTTGGCTACATTCCCACTGGGGCTTCTGCTTACATTTTTCTAGTAATTTGAGGGGAGGTAGGAGGAGTCCTTACAAGTATTTTAGACCCAGATATCAGATGGCTGCTTTAACTCAGCATCACAAGGAAGTCTTTGGCTCAGCTACTATAACATTAGGAAAGTCATTGAGACCATAGCAAACAGAACAGCACTGCTGCACATTTGGTGGCACTGGTCCAGGATGCAATTAATGGTATCCTTAAGGGGGTAAAGCTTCTAAACTTGTATAGAATTGTAAGCCTATAAGCTAAAAACCCTCAGTCATGAAAGCTGCCGCAGTGACTTCTGGTTGGCAGCTTTATCTTACTGTGTACATTACATGTCCCGGATGTTTATAAAGTCCTCAAACAGATTTAACATTTAACAGCTTTGGAAGTATGCATGGTAGGAGCAAACATAAACACTGCATGAGAGATCAGTTCATTGAGCCCCACAGTGGATGCTACACAGGTATCTAGGAATGCCCTAAAAATTCCCAATCTCTGGCAGATTTATTAATTGCATCTGTGAGAGTGATGAGAAATTCATTCACAAAATTTTTTTCTGAGATATTTTACTCTTAGACATGGATTTGATTAGCTACATGCTGGCTAGCCAGGTGTAAGTTCTTCAGAATATATCAAAAATAAAAGAAATGTTGAGGTACAGGCATCATTAAGCATTCTGTGACGTTTTCTTCCACATCACACAGATTCCAGGCTACCAGGAGTCTCTAAAGCTCATAGACTTCAGAAGTTTGCAACACAAATAGGTGCAGGCCTTCTGTTAAACCAGGAAAAGGGTGTTGATCCCTGTCTCTCTTTGTTGGAACGCCATGGTATACTGTGTTGAAGGAGTTGAATTTCTTCTTCACTTTTGTTTCAGAGGGGGTGAGACATCTCAATTTTTAAGTATTTAGATCCCTTGAAAGTGGACATGCTCAGGTGTGGTAGCATGAGTCTTCAATCCCCACACTAAGGAGGTAGAGACAAGAGGATTACCCACCAAAAATAGGGGGCCAGCCTGTCTACAAAGGAAGTACCATGCCAGTCAGGCCCACATAGAGAGACGTTGTTTCCCAAAACAAGAAAGGAGGCTGAGAATATAGCCCAGTTGGTAGCACACTTGCCTTGCACCCATGAGTCCTTGGGTTTGATGAATAGTATAAGAGAAAGGGAAGAAGGAAAGGAGAAAGAAAAAGGAAGATAAGGGAGGAAGGAAGGAAGGAAAAAAGGAAGGGGGAAAAGGAAAATAAAATGAGAATTAGCCCCAACATCGTTTGGTCTTATTCTGATGTCCAATCCTCTTCCCAGAATGTCCTAGGCCAAAGACCTTCCTTTCTAAGCCACGTTCTCTTCCTCACCCACCTGGCTATACCACAGTGAACTAGCCTGAGTTTGGGGCTGTTTTTATTTTTTTATTTTTTATTTTTTCCTTTCAGTGCATCTGTATACTCCAACTTAGAAGTAGACAACATCCCCCCCCCATTTTTTTTCTAACCAATACACCAAACAAGTGTTGTACCACTGACCTGTACTCCTATCCATCAGAAGGGTTCATTCTTGAAGAGTAAGGACCACAACTACCTACAGTTTTTTGTTTTGTTTTGTTTTGTTTTGTTTATTGAAACAGCATTTCTCCATGTAGCTCTGGCTGTCCTGGAACTTGCTCTGCAGACCAGACTAGCCTAGCCTCTAACTCACAGAGACCCACCTGCCTCTGCCTCCCAAGTGCTGGGATTAAAGGCCTGTGCTACCACCACCCAACCATGCATGTATTTTTAAATGTGCAATTTTCAGGTCCTTCAATGATTCCAACACAGCTCACTACAACACAACCTGAAGGAAGAATTACCTGGAAGCACGGATGTGCCCTTGACCTGAAGAGCTCCCAGCTCCCCCACATACACACATACACACACACCACACACCCGCCTCCTCCCATGAAAGGCATTTGCTTGCTCCTGACTTTTCTTAGCAACACCAGACTCCATGGTTCACAAACACTTAACACTTTGTTCTTGTGCCAAGGAAAACAGTCTGGGGCATCTTATCCTTTGCTGTCATTTAGGGTGTGGCATTTTCGTTCTGAGAGTCACCACTCCATATGACCCTTCAAATGCATCCCATTGCCTTCCGCAGGAATGTACCAATCGCTGCTGTAACGCCACCACCTGCACTCTGAAGCCAGATGCTGTGTGTGCACATGGGCAGTGCTGTGAAGACTGCCAGGTGAGTTCACTTTGGCCTGAGGTTGCTGGATGGTCTGGGCGGCTCCAGTCTGATGCAAGTGGAGCAGTATGGTGGGCTGATTTCCCCAAGCTCATCCTGGGAAGCTGCCCTTTCACCAGTCAGTACCATCTAGCTGTTCTTGGAATTTTCTGATCTGGTAAAATGCACACTCTAATTGCTAATTCTTATGATAAGTTGTCTGTGGGCTAGAAATCCAAGCTCAACCTTAATATTCCATTTAATATTATGGGCTCCTAACTCCATGAGAAAAACAAAGGGAGGAGAACCCAGCCCTAGCCCTGTCACTCAGCCTCATGCCAGGTCCACACGCCTGATACCAGTGTCTGGTGGGTAGCAGGGAACCCATGCTGGTGGTTCCTGGAATGTCTGCACCAATGAAAAGTGCAGTCCACCCTGAGCCGCCAGAGTGGCATACGCCTGACTTGCTATTTGTGCTGATGTGACTGCACTTGCTTTGGAATTTCCACCGTTCATCCTGTTCCTTCAAAATGCATGTCTTACAGAGAGACCTGAGCATCAGAGGTTCCTTGGTACTTAAGCAATTGTTCTTAGCACAAAAGATGGTTGGGAACTCTGTGATCCATGCCAACCATGCACATCATTTAGAAGTGGAGTGTGTGTGTGTGTGTGTGTGTGTGTGTGTGTGTGTGTGTGTGTGTGTGTGCGCGCGCGCGTGCGCGTGCGCGTGGGTGTGAGTGTGGGTGTGTGTGTGTGTGTGTGTGTGTGTGTGTGTGTGTATGCCCCCTCACTAAGTTCTGGAAATGTTGTAAGAAGTACCTGGTACCCAAGTACCCAGATATTAGTGCTGGAGAATGCTGGGAAGGAGATGAGGGAGGATGAGAACAGCTGAGCTCTCATCACTGAGAAAGGCTCAAGACACTCACAAGGAGGGAGGATATGTGAGGATACCCAAACCCAACTGCCATTCACTTTTGTAGGAGCTGGTAGATGATTCACCTTGTTGCCTTTGGGAGTATGCAGGCCAGCCAAGCCCAGAACTCAGTGGCCTTGTCTACAGAGTTCAGACAAGCTGCCCTGAGCCTTAATTTCTTCAGCCTAAAAGATGAGCTGCTGGTGAGAGGTCTAACAGCCCTCAGTGGTAGCTGCTACCTCTGCTGCTTCTGCTGCCACCTCCTGGTCCTTCTCCCCATCATCCTCCCTCAACCCTGCCCCCAGATTTGCCCATAAAGTGATAAAGAGGGTCCTGGATCTTTTATTGACAGCATAGCACTACTATTGAGAGTCATATCTTGCTGATGTTGTTGCCTTGTCCAAAAATACCTAAGGAGAAGGACAAATGTCAACTCTGAGCATGTGATAGTGTCAACAGCCTGAGAAAAGTCTGCCTCAACAGGAGACTAAACAAGAGCCAGCTTGTCTGCTCCTTGGAGAACCCTAGTGTTACCTGCAGCTCCCAAGTGAGCTGTTCTTGGCTGCCCACCCAGCTTTCTAGCACAAATGTGAACCTCACAAAACCATTTAAGGAGAGCTCTCTGCCCTCAAAGGGGATGGCATCAAAATCCCCACCTGTTTACATGACTATAGTAGGTGGCCTGTTGTGTTCTGCCCCAGGACAGCTACTAGGGGCTGTTTCCTCCTTGTCATTTCAGCTGAAGCCTCCAGGAACCTCATGCAGGCCCTCCAGCAACTCCTGTGACCTTCCAGAATTCTGCACAGGGACTGCCCCTCACTGCCCAGCCAATGTGTACCTACATGATGGGCACCCATGTCAGGGAGTGGATGGTTACTGCTACAACGGCATCTGCCAGACCCATGAGCAACAGTGTGTCACGCTCTGGGGACCAGGTATGTGGCCTGTCCCAGTTCTAAGAGGGACACTGGAGAAGTATGCTCCATGTGTGTGAATCTGTCCTGGCTCCTTGGGGGATTCCTCCACTCATGCCCATTCTGCTCTGCAACAAAGCTCAAACCCTGAGATGAGCAGTCTGTTTCTGCAGGAGGCATGGCTAGGATTTAAGCCTGATCACTGTGACCCAGCCTATGGGTATAACTCTCACAGTGTAAGTCACCCCCATGAGCAGATGAGGCCTTTAAGATGAGAACCATTAAGGTTCTAAAATGTAGATTAATGTTCAAGGGGGTGTATGTAGCTGCTCCAGGGCTCCACGCTGAAGTCAGATCCGGGGTGTCATAGGCAACCTAGATACTGAAGTCTTAGTGCATAAGAGCCTCACTAGCCCAGGACTCGATACCAGTGGGAGTGGGCAGCATCACTACCTAGGGTCCTCACTCTACCCTGGAGTCCTCACTGCCCCAGGGGTTTACCACCCTAGGCCTTATTACTAGGAGCTCTTGCCACTCCAGGAAGGCCTTATTACCTAGAAACCATTCTGGATCTGCTCCATTTACAGCTCCCAGGATCCTGGCTAGGAATCCCACTGGGGATGTTTTCTGAGTGTGTTGCAATTCTTTCTTTCCATTATGCTTGGCTGAGTTCTTACTTAAGGCTAAGAGATGACCTCAGACCTGGCCAAAGGCCCCAGCGCCAGCAAGGCCACTGTGGTCAGCCAGACTCAGGCCTCGAGCTGAGCCAGCTACGGGGGAAACCAGAGACTTTCTGCAAAGCTCTGGTTTCCAGAGGGATAAGGGGAATCAACCAGGGCAGAAAATGATGGGCAAATGCAGAAGCCTGGTTTTTAACTGCTACATGAGTACAACACCCAAACCTGGAGAGTCCCCAATGCCCAGCAAAGATGCCCCTCGCTTGGAGCTTTCTGGGGAAAAAGTGTGGACTGGTGGCCCCCATAAGTGGATTTACCCTGGACAGGTAGAATAAAAAGTCTTGAGACTCAAGGTCCCTCACACTTCCTCCTTAGGGCCCCAGTGCTGGCCCTCTCGCCTGATGCCCATGAGATCCTTAAGGCAAAGGTAGGGGACCACCATTACAGTGATACCCACTAGGAAGACACTCATTATACATGTGTCAAACGGTCATGGAACTCTGAATGCATTGGAGTTCAGATACCTTTTAGGTAAGTAAGGTCATTTTAGGACAGGGGCTAGTGCAGCAGGCCTCGGACATCTCTAGTGGCCCTTCCACAGGCAAGAAGCTCCCATCTAAAGGTACAGTGGCTGTTCTGCTGCTCCCTTTAAGGGAGCTGTCCTTGGCCAGCACACCCAGCCCTTGGAGCTTTTTAGTGCCCAGCTGTGCTTTGAGACTTGGCTCCAGGTCCAGAATGAGCTCAGATGGAACAGGACAGTATTCCCCAAGCCATTGTGCTGTGTAACTCTACTGGCTGTCATGGTGACCAAAGCAGGTATTCATAGAGAAGAAATAAAAAATGAGGGGGAGACAGAGATTGAGATCAGTGGGGCTGGGATATGGCTCAGTCAGTGAAGTCCCAACCAGGCACACATGATCCATTTTTATATGCATCTATGTAAAAAGCTGAGCATGGCAGCCAAGCTTGTAATCCCAGCACGAGGGATGTAGAGACGGGATCCCTGGAGCTTGCTCTAGCCAGCCTACCTAGTCACTGAGCCCCTGTAGGAGAGAGAAGTGACAGAGGAAGTATTGACCTCTGCCATCACACACATATGCAAGGGGCAGTGCTGAGCAATGGGGACAGAGATGTGTGCAAACTAGACATGCAGAAGCCACTCTGCCTGACAAAGGGGCTTCTCAAAAGCAAGAGCACCAGCCTCCTGCTTCATCTTCTTAAGATTTATTTATTTATTATGAATATAACATTTGGCGTCTACGTATGCCAACCAGCCAGAAGAGAGCACCCGATCTCATTACAGATGGTTGTAGGCCACCATGTGATTGCTGGGAATTGATGTCAAGACCTCTGGAAGAGGAGTCAGTGCTCTTAACCTCTGAGCCCTCTCTCCAGCCCTGTGTCAGCCTTCTTGAGTGCTCCCCATCATGGTAGCTGAAGCTGAAGGCCTGGCAGCTTTATAATCTGCACATCTTCCTGAAGAGGGGCACCACCCCCCCCACCAAGAGTACACACACACACACACACACACACACACACACACACACACACACACACACAGCTCTGTTCCCTCCCAGCCACCTTCCCTCTGGTGGCTGAGAAGGCCCTGGCATAGGTGCAGTGGGGTTGTCCGGAGTGGTTCTTTGCACAGTGTGCTGAGCAAATCAGAGTGGCCAGGTCTGGGGACCTCACACAGTGGCTCCCTGGGTTTTGACATGCCCCCACTAGACCTTTCTCAACACAGATCATAAAAGAATGTTCTCAGCAGAGAGGGCATGTGGAAGGCCTCCAGTAGCTTCTTAGCAACCCCTTGCCGTACATCATGGCCCTTTCCTTCCATCTTGGTGAGACTGCCTGGCTTTCCAATTGATGACACTATGTGAGTTCCCTATGGCCAGGGCCTTAGAGGCTCATGGCAGGAAAAGTTACAGCCTAACAATTCTGGAGATCCAAAGTCTCAGTGCCAAGTGTTGGCAGGGCATAGCACATGCAGAAATTTGGGGGCAGAATGTTGCCTTTCTGACTTTTCCATCTTTCTGACATTGCCTGTGTCCTTGACTCTCAGTCCCTCCTCCTTCAAGGCCAGGGGTGCAGCAATTGTCTGTCCATCTTCTCTGACCTCTGCTTCTGTAGTCTTCTGACCCTGCCCCTCCTGTTTCCCTTGCAAGAACTCATAGGATTCTATTAGACCCACCCAGGTCTCCATCTCTACATCTCCCCATCTCAAGATCTCTAAATTAATCATGCCTGCAAAGTCCCTTTTGTTATGTAAGGTAACACACTGACAGGGCGCAGACTGGAGAGGATGGGCTGGTGCCAAACCCTGATGGTGAACCACGTAATATTCCTTCAGAGTGCCCCTGAGCCTTCTTGCAGCTCTGCTGTGAAGTGGGACTAGTGCCTCACCTACCCCATGCATGTAATGTCCTCTGATGTAGCCCACACGCTATTTTAAGTAACAGAGTGCATGAAGGGACAGCGCTGGTGCTTGGCACCTGGTAAGCCTAAACTCAATCAGTGCAATTAAATGTGTCCTCAAGAGATGGAGGCTTGTAGAAAGGGGGCTCTGAGAGGACAGGACAGTGGCAAGATGTGGTGGGGACAAGAGAGAGAGAGCTTGGACTTGGGGCTGGAGAGCAGCCAGGTTGAAAGAGTCTGAGAGAAACTGTTCTGCAGTGGTCATCTGGAAGAGGTAGAGCTCCCAGCTTCCAGGGTTGGGTAGAGAGCACACAGCAGTGGCGAGAGGCCAAGACAGGGAGTGCAGATAGTTCTGTTTGTGTAGAGCTGTGACTTGGACAGCAGCAGAGATCCTCATCTGCCATTCATTCTCTCATTTGTTAAGTATTTGCTGACGTCCTGCTGGGTAGGAGATGCTGACTCAAGAGCCTGCTTGTGCCAGAGGAATGCACTTCCTGTGGTCCCTGCATGCTTTGCTCAGGATGTGATTCCCTTTGTCCCATCCTCCTCAGCACTACCACTAAGCCCTTACCCTGCCCTGGGGGTGGGGGAAGGGGATGTAAGCCCCAGGGTCAGAGGTGACTTCCTGGGCTGGGGCCCTGGCCAGCCAGATGTGTTGGACTGAGAGCACTATAGTGCTCTAGCGGTTGGTTCAAATGAACTTTCCACGATTCAGGAAGGAAGCCTTTGTCCAGGATGCATTTGCAGTGTCCCTTCTTCCCACTCAAGAGCAAAAGCCCAGATCTAGGCCATGTTGTGTAAGAGCCATCGGAGACCTCCAGAGACGGGGGTTACTCAGAACTCCAGAGTCCTTCAGTCGTTGCTTGGATAGCTATGCCATTCATACCCAGTGACCTGGCCAAGTTGTTGAATCACATCGAATTCTCCGGTTATATCCAGGATGTCCATTACTCATGCCTCAGAGCTGGCTGCCCAAAGCTGACCGGATGACGCCCTTCCTTCCAGCTAACTATTCCCTTTTTTTAGATGGGCTTTTCTCAGTTCAGCATTAGATTTCAATAAAATACTCCTGTTTCCAAGTCTCCCTAGAAATAAAGCCATAGAAAATTCAAAACATGTGCCTGCAACTCCTAAGTGGCAGTGTGACAAACTTTCAGAATACCTTCTTTGGGTTTTGTCCATCTGCCTAATTTTTTAATCTAATTATTATTAATAATGCTGTTGAAAGCCTTCCTGCTAGCTGGAACAGTTTTCTTTTCCTACCTGATTTTCTACCACATCTCATAGTTGGTGTATGTACAAGTTGAGGTCAGGAGTTGAAGTCACGTTTCATCTTCAATCACTACCCACCTTATTTTCTGAGACAGAGTTGCTCAAGAACCTGCACACTTGTTTAGCTAGACTGGCAGCCAGTGAGTTCCAGGGATGCTCCCATCTCTACTTTCCATTGCTGGAATCACAGACATCTTCTGCCAGGCCCAGATTTGAACTCAGGTCTTCATGCTTGCATAGCAAATACTTTGGCCACTGAGCTGTCTCCCTAGCTTGATGTCTCGGGATTTCAGAGGTTGGTATCCCAGGCACAAATGTTATCTGTAGTCCAAATGGTATTGTACTTTTTACCACAGTTCAGTCTTAATATTCAGGAAGATTTTCTGTTGGCATGGCATGACCTTTATTCCTGCTAGAATACAGCTGCAAGTTTTCTTCAGGGTGCAGATTTACTTTCAGCAGTGTTGTTTTCTAGAACCACTAGCCTAGTGATGGAGAACATTATTTGACTATTGACATCATAGGTATGTTACATGATCACCACGGGCCAAAAGTCATGGATGTCCCTCGGAGGGATCCCCTAAACATGCTATTATTATGCATCTTATCACTCACCAGATTCTACTGTCATTTTATTTATGCCATGCCAGCTAAACGGATACGTTTTATGGGCTGGTAAATATCCAGTGTTTATCTACAAGGCTGGTTTAAATGAGCTCAGTTTACTTGAAATCTACTCTGGACCTTGTATGTACTGACCGCCTACTGTAACTCATGGTTATGGAGGGGAAGAAAAGATTTTTCCACGAGGCATGTTGTTGGGGAACCAGAAAAACCCAGTCCCATCATATAAGGAGGAAATGATAGGATTTGTTCATTTGAACTTCATTCCCTGATAAAGGCAAAGACCAACCTGGAAAGGACAGAAGGGCAGATGCCACCTGCTTATGTCAATCAATGCCTGCCTTTGTCTGTGGGTTTAAGTGACAAGGAGTTGACAAGGAGACAGGAGCTGACTGGCCTGAACTGGAGCAGTGTGTTTGCAGGTGAAGATCATCTCAAGGAGAGGTTCAGAATGAGTAAACCTGGAGCTTCATTCAAGTTGCTGTCGTCTTCATTTCCTTTTCAAAGGACATCATGACATTGAGAACTTCCAGACTCAGTTGCAAGTGTGAGCCACAGAGCTGGAAGCCAAAGCTTGTGATTAAAATGCAGAGCAGTGTCAAGACTCCCTCCAAAAAGCCCAGCTTTATCTCCTGCTGGTGGCCAAGCACTGAGTGTTCCCTTATTAAGAACTCAAAGGCTTTAATTGATGTAGCATTGGAGTGATAAGGAAACTGTTGCCATTCTGTCCTTGAGATAGATGTGCAATCTCTCACCTTCCAGAAGACAAACAGCCCAGAATTTTTAAGTGCAACAGCTCTGAGCCCATCACCTCTGCCTTTGCCATGTCTTGCAAGTGGACAGCCACAACTTGGACTTTTCAAATTCTGCCTCAAAGACAAGTACCAGCTGGCAGCTGGCATACAAAAGTCCTGTCACTGTCCTTATGAACTCAGTGAGAGGCTGAGAGCATCAGCTCAGAAGGCCGTCTGTGATTTGGTCTCCTTTTTTATCCCTTTCTCCTAATGCTGGGTTCTTTGAGTGTCAAGATGCATCCCATTTAGAATCCCCCTGCCCCACCTCCTGCTTCTGAGTTTTCAGACTTGGACTTCATCTCAGAACAGCCATTTATCTTTCCTGAAAGCAAAACCTCTGCCTTCATGCATCTTACACAGGGCTGCGCAACAGGCAGCATTTCATTTGATGCCAGGGAGCAAGTGAAAATCCACAGCTGCAGAACAGAGCCCCAGGGAGATGTGTCCATGGCCCCCTGTGCTTCATTCACAGAGCACAAATGGCTACCTCTGGGAGTGCTGGGGATGGGGGGACTGACCAGTGCCCTTCTGCCCATGTCTTCATGAATACCCTGCTATTTGCAGTCAGCAGGCAATATATATGATACATACAAGGAAGATTCATGAGAGGAAGAAGAAAACGAGCAAGGATCATGCCCCGCCAGCTCCATGGGAAAGGAGAAACAGAAGAAGGCCCTGAGGGACCCAACAGCCCTAGATACATAAAGCATGCTTGTTGGTTTAGACCAGCATTACCCTATCATGTGACCTGTGAGATAGATTACTCTGGCCAGAAAGGAGTCTATCCCTCTGGCATTGCATGCGAAAGTCGGCTATCCCTGATCATGTAAACGGGCTTCTTATAAGAAAAACACATTATTCCTCGAAGCAGGTGTATAGTAGACATATTAGGCATAACCGTCAGACAATCTCACATCTTCTACACTGCAACTCATTATTAGTAAAGCAGATTTTGCTTCAAACCATCAAGGAAAACCCCTCTGCACTGGCTCACCTACATAAGAGTTACTCCATAGGAGGCTGTGGCTGGTGAGCTACACTGAAGGGAACAGTGCTAAGAAGTTCCTGTGAGCTCTAGCTGGGAGCATATTGGCCCCAGAAAGTAGCCTAGAGCCCAGCATGGCATCATCTTACAGTCTACAGTTGGAGGTAGTCAGATGAGTCATGAGAATTGAACTAAGTTTCAACTGTCTGCATCACTGTAAGTTTGATTCAACTTAATCTTTAGCCTTGAAATGTGTTCCTTATAAGGGGCTATCTCCTCATACCCCAAAAACTCTACGGTAGAAAACATTAGGCAATTGGATGAGGACGGCATTTAACATAGAGCTCTATCCATTCCCTCCTGACTTCCTGTCCCACCTCCATCATCCAGTTAAAAGAGCAGCTTTGGGGTATTGAAGGGAACTGCCAGGCCATGTCTGCTGCAGGATGGAGAAGGTAAAACAGCATTCTGCACTCTCCCTAGACAGGAATACAGAAAGAATACAGAGTATGCTAGAGACCTTGCCTTTGTCATAGTCCGATGGCTCTATCCTGTCTCCCAGTTTACAACAGTAGAGGAAGGCATGGTCTTGCTCCCTTCCACATGTCTGTTTCCTTTGCCTCATCACAAGTCACTGCTAAGGTCATTGACAGAGACATGTCCTGGCTATGCATGTGTCAGCAGCCCACTGATAGTCTCCTGCTCCTTCAGCACTTCCTGGTGGAGACACAGAGCTAACCTCGGAACCCTGTATTGTTCAAGCTGCTGTGGAGAAAATTGTGTTGGCCAAATTCCATGCAACTTGTTATCTTAGAAACTGACATCTCTTTACAAGTCACTTTGTGGGGGTGGGATGTTTGTGTGTTTATATACATGTTTTGTGCAAGATATCCAGTGACATCCCCAATCTTTATTTTCTGAGACGGAACTGTCGCTAAACCTGGAATTCAGCAGCTCAGCTAGACTAACTGGCCAACAGGCTCTAGGAATTCTCCTGCCTCTGCCTCCTCAGAGGCAGATCATAGGCGTGTGCTTGGGATGTTGGTGCTCTGAACTCAGGTCCTGGAAAGCACTTTATCAACCCAACCATCTCTCCAGCCCCTCTCTAAAAGTCATTTTTGGGGGATTTTTTTTTCCTTTCCTGGGATGAGAAGAGTCAACAAAAAGGCTTGAAACTAGCTGGTGCCTCTCGCAGTATCTCCCAGGTGGAGGGAAATCCCCCGAGCATGCAGACTCGATGGGGGTTTTGTCCAGATGGTCAATATCTAAGAGAGAGGCAGGGAGCAGCCAGCAGCATAATCCAGCAAGCTCTTCTTCAGAAAAAGGCTGGTGGGCAGACTCGATGACAGATGAGAGTCTGTAGGAGAAAAGGAAGGTGGTGCTGCAGAGACCAAGTCATCTTTTTCTGCAACAAAGCATTTGGTTTGGGCTGGTGCACCTTAGCCAGGAGTTCCAGGAGGCCTGTCTAAAATGCTTTCTAGGCTAGGAATAAAGAAAGGGAATGTGTCAGGTGTGGTGGCACATGCATTGAGTCCCAGCACTTGGAGATGGATCTCTGTGAATTCAAAGGTAGACTTGTCTACAGAGTGAGTTCTACGACACCCAGACCAACATAGTGATATCATCTCAAAACAAACAAAAGAGGAAGCAGAAGGTCTAGAATGGGGTTGCTAGTAAAGGTCAAGGGTAGGCACAGGCCCATTTCACATAGAAAGAAGGTGACAGTGGTGAGCTGTGTGCTTTTGCTATTGAATGAGGTGGCCATTTCTGCTACTAACTGATAAGGGACCAGCACAGGTTAAAAACAATGGGTATCACTGCAGAGGAGGAAGGGAGCCCCCACCATGGACCGAGTCTGATTGGAAAATCCAGATTGCATTGTCACCTTAGAATGCCAACAGAGATTCCCCGGAGTTGGGAGCAGAAAAGGACATAGGGCAGGCAGGTCTAGACTTTGGGAAGTCACCTCCTAATCATTGAAAGTGCTGTGAAAGGAAATGTCCAAACCAGATGTTGGAAGGGAAGGCAGGCCAAGACCACCACGTGGGCAGGCATGGTTTGGCCTGCCCTATTCTCCTGACTTCCTCACTGTTACCCACAGATACCTTTATGGCTGACATGGAAGAGCCCTCCAAAGCTTTGACCCTGCAGCTCTCGATCATTTGTTCTCTTTCCCTGGCAGGAAGAGGTGGTTTTAAAAGTGGTCACTTCCTGGGTTCTCTAGCTGCAGTGCCCCCACCCCCCCCCCACCAAGGGATAGCCTGCTGTGCACAGTGACAGTTGGGTCTGACAAGGCTATAGCCTGTGAGGATAATCTCTGCAGAAATGGCCATTAACTGAGGACAGTGCTTACTCTTGGAACTTTCTAGAACTAAAAAACAAAATATTGCTGCATCCCTCTCTCTCTCCCTCCTCTGGCTCTCTCCCACCCCATCTTCCCCCATACACACACCCCACCCCACACACAAGCCACCACTACTCTTTGGCGTCTGCCTAGCTTGTCTTTTCTCACCGGAATTGTGTGGGATGTCATTACAGAGAGTAGCTTCCCCTTGTCTGCAGCCAGCCAGCCAACTCCTTCCTGCTCCCGACCAGATCCAGCCTAATCCCCTGAGAGTCTGCACATGCCTTGGGTCCCGAATCTAAGCCTATAACACAACACAGGGGAAATGAGTGGGCTTTCTCCGAGCTGGGCCAGGTTGCCGATTCTCCAGCCCACTCCGGGGCCAGCTGGGTACTGTGTGCCACTTCTCTAAACACGAGATGCCCCTCCCCTTGGTCCCCAAGCCCAGCCATATGATGTTCAGAGGAAATGAGACGCAGTGATGAGGAAGGTGCCATTGTTCTTCTGTTCCAGGTGCTAAACCAGCCCCTGGCATCTGCTTTGAGAGAGTCAACTCTGCAGGAGATCCTTATGGCAACTGTGGCAAAGACTCCAAGAGCTCCTTCGCCAAATGTGAGATGAGGTATAAGGCCACACACCCTGCTGCAGTGGCACATGGCAGAAGCCACTCCACACTGCCCCTCTTCTGAGTGTGTGTGTGTGTTCTTACCCTTCCAGGGATGCCAAGTGTGGAAAAATCCAGTGTCAAGGTGGTGCCAGCCGACCAGTCATTGGTACCAATGCAGTTTCCATAGAAACAAATATCCCACAGCAGGAAGGAGGTCGGATTCTGTGCCGGGGGACCCATGTGTACTTGGGCGATGACATGCCAGACCCAGGGCTTGTGCTTTCGGGAACAAAGTGTGCTGAAGGAAAAGTAAGAACCCAGTTCTCACTTGCATCCTAATGTAAGTCTGGAACACAGCCCACTGGAAGAGCCTGCTTAGGAACTGGGGGATGCGGCCAGTTGGTTTTCCTAAAGCCTCTCAGAATATGACAGTCTCTGGAATCCAACTCTTTGCACCTAGAAGAAAAAGTCAGTCAATCTGAGGTCCCAGTGTGACCATTGAGACAGGGATGGGATGGGGGGGGGGCAAAGAGGGGCTGGGGTTGTTTTTTCCCTTTCGCATAAGCAATTTCTTCACCCTGGGCTTCAGGGAGGCTTCCTGCCAGGAAATGACCTCAGAAAGAAGCACAGCAGTAGAGCATCTCGTTTGGGGAAAAGTGCCAGAGCTCTTGGGGGCCTGTTGTCACCTGGGCAAAATGGGAAGTCAGCTGCACTGTAGAGAAAAGAGGAGCATAGGGGAGGGAGTCAGCTGAGAGATGGAGGGGGCTCCGTGGGGAGAACAGGCAGGAGGGAGGCTGAGATGTTTCCAGAGTTTAACACAAGGCCAAAATTTTTAAAGGAAGAAACTAGGATTTTCTGCCCCACTGGTTTATGTGTGGGTAAGTGTACATGTGTATGTGTATGCTTGTGTCGTGTGTGAGCACAGGAGTGTGTGTGTGTGTGTGTGTGTGTGTGTGTGTGTGTGGCATGTGTGTCTCATATGTGTACGAGGTGTGTGCATATGCATGTGAGTGTACCAAGGACAATCTTAACTACATTCCTCAGGCATCTTTTTCTTTCTGATTTTTTTTTTTTTTTTGGATACAGGGTCACATGCTTGCCTAGCACACACTTTACAGACTGAGCTCTCTCTCCTCCCAGTCTCTTGTTTTGCTTTCGTTTGTCTTTTCATCTAATTTTCCATCAGACTAAATGATAGCAAATTAATTAAACTTTTCAAGAGAACATGATAAATCAGCTCACACTTTTGGAACCCATTTTCCCCGTGATCATGAAGTCACTCTCAGAGGTGATGGTATAGAAAGAACAGAACCCAGAGTTTCCCCTCACAAAATCCTGCATAGAACAGAGGCATCACACTCTACCAATGGCCCACAGTCCCAGCCTGAGAACTCTTCAGCCCCAACTGAAAATGAGCAGAGGACCCTCAAAGACTCATCCAAGATGGCACAGATGGTAAATAAGCCTATGAAAATGCTTCATACCACAGATCAACAGGGAAACACCAATTAAAACAACAGTGAGAGGCATCAATATCTGTGTGAATCACAAAACACACAAAATCCAGGAGCCCAGCTTTTCTCCTGAGGGTGCTCACTCTGCCCTCTGGGAGCTGTTGCGGGGAGATGACCACCTGCCCTCAGCAGCTCTACCTGGTGAATCCACTCAGTATTCTAAACCTTGAACTCTTCTTCCTTTCTCTCCACTAATCTGTGAAGTTGCAGGAGAGAAAGCAGCTGAGCACCACTGAAAGAGGCAGCCACTTCCAGCTAGCCAAGGCCATTCAGCAAATGGGAGCCTCAGCAGTGACTAGATAAACAGGACCCTGGGGAGCATTCCTGTGGATGTTGTGTGTCACCAGTGACCCCAAAGCCCTAAACAATACTCATGAGAAAACCGGTTATAACTTTTCATTTCCACTAAAACCATCTTAGACGCCATTAAGTATAAAGGAACTCAAATCAATGCTGTTCGCATTGGACAAAGTGTCAAATCAGACCCCACTAGCCATGTCTGAGGCAAATAAGTTATTATGCTCCGTCCATGCTCACTAAAATGTGAGCCTTCATGTTTTCCTTGCTTTCCCTTTCATGTTATGTATGGAGAGTGTGCAAGCATGTTTGTCTGTGACCTGTAGAAGCCAGAGGTCAACCTCTGACCTCATTTGTCTGGTGACATCCACCATGTTTTTTGAGACAGGGTCTGTCACTGGAACCCAGGGCTACTAGGTTAGGATGGCTGACCAGCAAGCTTCAGAGATCCACCTAGCTCCACCAGCACACACTACCATGCTTGGTTTTTTGTTCGTTTGTTTGTGTTTTTACATGGGCTCTGGGGATTGAACTTGGGTCCTTAGGTTTGCACAGCAAATACTTTACCAATAGAGCAATCTCTCAAGCCCCCTGCTTTCTCTTTTTCATGTTCCTGTGTGAGGGAGGGGACAGAGGTACTGAGGCATGTGCTGTGTGTCTTCCACAGATCTGCCTCAATCGTCGATGTCAGAATGTCAGTGTTTTTGGAGTTCACAAGTGTGTGATGCAGTGCCATGGCCGAGGGGTAAGTAGGATATCTCACTCCTCTCAGCCAGTCTACAGCCAGCTAATAGCTTTCAGCTTTTCTGATGGATTTATTTTATGCACATGAATGTTTTTGCCTGAATATATGTGTGCTGGTGCCCACGGAGGCCAAAGAGAGGGTTAGATTCCAAGGAGCTAGAGTTACAAGTGATTACGAGCCACCATGTAGAGGCTGGGAACCAAACCGGGGTCCTCTGCAAGAGCATCAAATGCTCTTAACCACTGAACCACCTCCCCGGCTCCTACTAGCCAAAGCTTTTTAAAAACCATGGTAGGCAGTGAGCGTCTCCTCAACCTTTCCTTCCAGGGGCGTTAACTCTCTCTGACCTTTACATAGCAGGAGAAATGTCACTTTCATTTAACAAAGAAAATCAGATTGAGAGGTAATTATCTTTTGAATTAACATTCTGTGATATGAAGAAAGAATTTTGTCATCTTCAAAGTAATTTCGAAGCTAACCTTGCTTCATGAAGGGCTCACATTAGCATTTCAAGCAGGGCTGTCCCTCTTGCTCCCAATAGCCCAAATAAGTCTCAACCAAGATACTTGCAAAAGGGATTAAAATGAGGACATCAGATCTACCATGTGTTCTTGAATGCCCTTGCCATGGGTTTTGACTACCACATGCTGCTGAGTTCTGAGAAGCTTTAGGGAAGAAAAGGACTCTAATTGTTTAAAACGTAATTTATTTTTCCGGATGCAGTTAATTTTTTTCCAATGGGATTATATTAATCTTGATTAGTTGTGCCAGTGGCTCATTTGTTCTCCTGAAGCTTTTTCTACAGAAACCATGCTCTAAATTGTATTTTTAGACTATCTAGACACTTGGTATTATGGAGGTCTTTGCAAAATCACCACCATGCTATAACCATGACAAATGGCCAGGCTGCCTCGGACAGGGGTGTTGATGTCATGTTCTGCTGACTCAGTGTCAAATGGGATCTCTTCATGTCTTCATTGGATTATCGATTTCTTTCTAATGGTGATTGATGAGCAAGTCTGGCCCTTCTGTTTTAGAGGTGAGGGTGTATCATAGTAACCTAGCCAGCTCAGAGAAAGTAGGGCAGAGACCCCTCTTGCTGGTACCTCTGGGTACATGTTGGCAAGCCAAAGCCCATATTTTGTGGCATAGCCAGCTAAGACTTAGTGTGATAGTTAATCTCCATTGTGAACTTTGTGGGATCTAGAGTCACCTGGAAGATGGGCCTGTGGAAGAGCATCTTGACTACATTATCGGAGGTGGAGAGATCTGCCCACTATGGGTAGTAGCACCATTCCCTGGGCTGGAATCCTGACCTATATAAAAAGGAGAAAGTGAGCTGAGCACAGAATTCATGGCTCTCAAATCCTTGACTATGAATGTGATGTGACCACCTGTTTCAAGCTCTTATCACCATGACTTCCACACCGTGATGGAAGCATGAGCCAAAACAAGCCCTTTTTCTTTAAGTGTATTATTTTTCAGGGTATTATTACAACATCAGAAAAGAAACTAAGACATTTGGTAACAAGTAGCTTGGCTCCAATCTCTCTGTGATGAGACCAGGCTCGCCACCAGTATCTCTAGGTAGGGAATCTGAACTACAGTTTCCTGCCACAAGCTAAGACCACCCACACCAGACATGGTGTGAGTCTCATGGTGGCTTGCCAGCAGCAGCACCTTTGCCATGTAGCAGGATGTACCATAGACACTAGAGAGCTGTCTGTCCCGCTCACTCCTGACCAGCCAAGGTTATTGTGGATACGCCAACCCTGCCATGGGAGCCTTGGCCTCACCACTAAAACAGTAGGACTGAGTTAGTTCATCCCTTACAACCATTAGAAAGAAATCTGTAACTCAGTGGTCACAGGTGCTCTGCAAAAGACAGAGTCACAGGAGTGTCCTAGAAAGTGCATCCCTGCTCCTGTGGGCTTTGTTGACTGTTAGCCTCCACAGATGAGGCAACTGGACACATGATTGGATCCTTCACAGAAGCCAGTTAGAGCAGGGAGCCATCACAAGCAAGACACAGCCTGCAGATGTTTTGTTTTCCTTCTAATAGTCATTCAGGCATGTATTTGGCCCCAGTGTTTTTAGCCAGGGCTAAACAACAAGCCACCCACCCAGAAATCCATCATCTGTGTTTAAGTGGAAGGGAAGTATAGATACCAGACAGCCATCTGGGCTCATAGTCCTTGATCTAAGCAGCTCTCCCCAGTCATCCTACCACTGTCCTGCCCCTCTCTAACTTGTCACATGAACCTTTACCCAATGTTTCCAAAGCGTAACCAGCTTTTCCTAAAACAAGGCATGCAGACTCCTGCAGCTGGGGATGTAGCTCAGTTGGTAAAGTGTTTACCTAGTGTGTACAGAGCTCCAAGACTGATCTCAAGTACCTTATAAAGTGTGCAGGGTGGGACACACCTATAATCTCTCAGCACTCAGGAGCTGGAGGTAGGAGAATCAGATACTCAAGGCCATTCTTGCCCACATAGCTAGTTCAAGATCAGCCTCGGATGCATGAGATCCTGTCTCAAAAACATTTTAAAAATGAGAAAGCCTTCTGCTCTTCATGCTCAAAATCAACTGGTTCATATTTGATGAGTTCTGTAAGCATCAATAGTGAATTCAAGCAGAAGAACCATGATAGGTAACCCTTGGCAAGTAGATGCAGACTCCTCGGTCCTTCTGTTGGAACTCTGCTCTCCCTTCGGAGTGCACTAACCGAGAACAAGGGTAAAAGCACCCTCTCCCGCCAACTTCTTCACAAGGAAGAGTTCTACTGTCTTTGCCTGTCATGTATTGTGACAGACAGGGAGCCAGGTAATGGCTGCAAGGGGCTGAAAGAAAGAGTGGGCATCTGGGGATAAGAGTAAGCTCACAGGAATTTTGGCAGACCCCTGTGTACGTCCATGGGCACCAGAAAATACGAGGCCCAGCCTAGGCCTACTTCCCCACCCCAGACTGCCAGGGTTCCTCCCTGAGCCTCCCTGAGGAAGAGGCGGGTTTATTCCAGTCATTTGGTTTTGGGCCTCTAAGCGGATCCCTCCTACCACAGAGAAGGGCAGCTCCACAGCTTTCCTGGGTTTAAAAGGAAATGAGACCAGGGAGGGGGAGCTGGCTCTGAGCAGCAGCTCCTGAACACAGGCAAGTTCCTCCTACTCTCACCTCTTCAGTTCACCGGCGGGGTGCTGTCTGGGGCTGATTCTCCTGGTATTGCATTTACTGAGTCTATGCGTGTCGCTGAGGGGATCTGGCAGAGTACCCATGTCTTGTGTGTCCTAACTCTGTCCCCTCTGGATGTTTTTGTCCACTTCTGCCCCCAAGGTGTGTAACAACAGGAAAAATTGCCACTGTGAGGCCCACTGGGCCCCTCCCTTCTGTGACAAGTTTGGCTTTGGAGGAAGCACAGATAGTGGTCCCATCCGACAAGCAGGTGAGTGGGGCTCAGCATCCCTGGGAGTGGATGCTGAGATGCCAGAGGCTGTGGCTGCTGGCCAGGCTTCCCCACAGTGGGGACTCGGAGTGCCTCTGCCTGAGCCTGAAGCTTTCGGGTTCTAAATGCTCTTGCTCTCCCCCGGCCTTCCCTTTGCCTGGATCCCCTCAATGCAGGTGAGCCATTACGTTGGCCATTTTCTCTCCCTGTGACACTTTTCTCAGCTAAATCAATGTCCACAGTGAACTACCAAATGTGTATGAATGTCACTGTCACATCAAAGGACTTCGTAAAGGGTAAGTTTTGTGGGCTGCCGCCCCAGTGCATTTTAAAACTCTGAGGGAGGAATGATAGCACCAGTACACTCGAGTGCAGACACATGTGGGTGGGGGTCAGGAGAGAGACTCTGAGACAGAGTCAGAGTGAGGGACAAGCAAGAAGGAAAGCGTGACGCCTACCTCTTAATAATAAAGAGGATGGTTCGCGCCAGAGATGGCGCAGTTGGTAAAGTGCTTGCCACTTGAGCGTGGATCAACATAAGAAGTTGAGCATGGTGGTGTGTGTTGAGGGGATGGGGAGGAGCAGCGGTAAGAAGATCCCTAGGAGGACTAAGGTTGGAGCTTAGTCAACAGGGTGCTTACCTAGGATGTGTGAGACCCTAGCTCAGTGGTTCTCAAGCTGTGAGCTTCGACCCTTTGGGTTTGAATGACCTTTCACAGGGGTTACCTGAGAACATCTGCAGCTTAGACATTTACATTATGATTCATAACAGTAAAAAAATGAGTTATGAAGTAATGAAAATAATTTTATGGTTGGGGGTCACCACAACGTGAGGAACTGCATCAAAGGGGTACAGCATTAGGAAGATTGACAGCCACTGCTCTAAATTTAATTCCCAGTATGGCACATCTAGCAGTGGGGATGTGGAGGCAGGAGGATCAGGAACTCAAGGCTCTCCTAGGCTGCATAGCAAATTCCAGGCCATCCTGGGCTCTATGCGATCCTGTCTCAGAAAAGAAATCTACAGTGTAGGGAGACTTCAAATAGAGAACTGGCTGTGGCAAGGCCTGGGGTCAGGGTGGGACAGGACAGGGATGACAGTCACCAAGGGCAGCTCCCAGGCTACAGATTGGACAATGGAGTCATGATGCTGCCTGAGACACTAACTTGGACAACTAACTCAGTAGAGGATGCCGCTATTCATGGCAATAGGCAGCCCTGAGCTTCCCAGGTGCCACTTAGGGCCTGGCAGAACTTTGAGTGATGTAAGGAACTGAAATTCCCATTTGAGGTCCTTGCTGGTCACTTTTTACTTAGAGTTGTTATGAGGCAATGGAGCCAAGCTGAAGCCCAGGGCTGCTACTAAGTCTGAGAGGAATGTCATTTGACCAAGAGACCAGCAACGATGTTCTTCCAGTCAGTCATGCATGTGGCTAGAGGAAGACTGCCATAGTAGCCCCCATAGGACACATCAGTTGAGGAAAAAGTACAGAAACAGAGGGCAGATGACAAGACATTGGGCCCAGAGCTGGGGCAGCTGCTACTTGGATCAGCAGCAGTTGAGTGCTGAAGGGAGTCGGGAAGAGGGTGAGTCTGGCTCCCAGCAGCCTTCAGGGACCGTTGGACTCCTAGTGTATGCAGTTCAACATTCCTGGTAGGTATACAAGCTAGTTCTTGTCTCCAGGACTTCACAGTTCTGATGAACTCCCAAGGAAGCCACCTGTGATTCCTAGCATCTCCCAGATTACCTCTGGGTATAACTGCAGTCACATGTATCCTGATGAGTTATGTGTCCTTCCCAGATGTGCTAAATAAAAAGGCATCAAATTATAAAAGGAAAAATACACTTAAAAAATAGCTTCAAATTTGCTATGTAGCTAAGGATAGCCTGGAGCTTCTAATCCTCCTGCCTCTAACTCCCAAGTGGTCACAAGCATGTGTACCATCACATCTGGTTTGTGGAGTTCTGGGGATCAAATCCAGAGCTTCCTGGATACATTCTACCAACTTAGCTACAGGCCCCGCTGTAAATGGAGTTCTTAACTGGTGTAGTTAATAAAAACCTTGAGTCAGTTATAGAGGAAAATGCTGAGCGATCAAAGAAGGGGTAAAGCCACCATCATACCTTACCTCCTTAGCATCTCAACAGATGAGAGAGAATTAGTTCCTGTTTCTCTCTGCTTATACCCTGTTTCTGCCCAGCTACCTTACTTCCTGTCTGTCTGTCAGTCAAGACCTACAGACCTCCATGATTACCTAGTGGCAAGCTCCATTCTCTGACTTTCAGATACGCTTTATTTGTACAAGCAAGATATCACTATATCCAGCCTCAGCCCCACAGGCAAAATTTCATAAAGAATTTGCACACCATCTCCAAACAATAAGGAGCTTGCCCTCAAAGGCAGTATTAAGTCCCTAACAGACTGAAACCAAATCCAGGGGTGGGAGATATATTATCTATGATTTATTAAAACTTGCATTAGGATTCAGGAAGAAAATCCAGCCTCAAACTATAGAGAACAGGCAGTGGTGTGCACACCTTTAATTCCAGCAGCCCTAGAGTTAGATGGTGGTGGTGCACACATTTAATCCCAGCACTCAGGAGAAAGGCAGATGGGTCTCAGAGCCCAAGACCACCCTTGGTTATCAGAGAGTGAATCAGAGCTCACGCCCTTAACCTCGGGATTTGAGAGGTATAAAAAGGTAGAGGCATTCAATCTGAGAATTAGTCCCTAGCCAAGTTGAGAGCATAGCAGTCTGAGTGAATCTGAGGAGCAGTGAAGTTGGGAGCAGCTTGGGGATCGCCTCTTTGATCAGAGCTGAGGTAGAGGTAAGAGCTAGTGGCAGGCCACTTTGCTTTTCTGGTCTTCAGCTTTGAAGCTTGAACCCTGTTTATCCTGTTACACAGGAGTAACTTCATTTAGGCTGATATTCTTTTCTTTCTCTAATTTGAGATGGCCCAAGTTGTCGTCTCGTTCAAGAATAAATATATGAAAGAAAGAGAAAAGAAATTACAAACTGACATGTAAAAGGAGCCTAGAACCTAGGATCTATGGGAAGGGGGTCAAGGGTGACCTTTGGGGAGCGCCCATCCTGATAAGACGGTCCCCTGGGACTTTGGGTAGCTCCTTGATCCATTCTGCTGTGGTTGTGCCTAGGGGAATCTGTGTGGTCCAGTCAGGGTCCCACCTAGCAGACCATGTCCCCGCATTAGCAAGTTCCACAGTTGTCACAGATGAATAATGGTGGCGTAGACCAGAGCTCAAGCACGACCTTTGAAGAGAGACTAATTTATTAGGATGTCATTCAGGGATTTACGTGTTCCCTTTCAGTTTGTTCCTTTCTAGCTCGCTGTGCCATAAATGTCACAGCGCGTTGTCTTCTGTATTTTATTGGAATGGCCTCCTCCCCTGAGCCAAATGTATTTTGTTTCAGATAACCAGGGCTTGACTGTAGGAATCCTGGTGAGCATCCTGTGCCTGCTGGCCACTGGATTTGTGGTATATCTCAAAAGGAAGACCTTGATGCGGCTGCTGTTCACACATAAGAAAACCACCATAGAAAAGCTGAGGTATGTCATCTCAAGAAATGGTGGCTCAACGTTTGGCTTCTTGCTGTGTCACCCTCAGCAAGGGAGGGAGGCAGATTTTCCTGGATAGTGTAACACTGGGTCTTTGGGTTTCTTTTGTTTTTGCTTTTGTAAGTGTCTGCCAGACCAGCTGTCTCTTTGACTCTCCCTTCAAACTATGTGCCATCCATTACATAAATAAGCAGGGTGTTGGTGAATTCCATGGATGGGTCTCCTCTCATCTTTGCATTAGCATTTTTTACAAGGCATGTGGACACTGGAATGTGTTCCTCAGATGGCAGAGCTTCAGGCCCAAATGTGCTTGGAGACACTATTGCTGAAATGCCAGCTTCATGCAAAACATCCCCTATGCACCCAAAGCTGAGTTTCTATGGTTTTCAGTTAACTAATTTGACAGAGCAATGGTTAGAGAGCAGAGGTCAGTATGCATTTTTTTTTCAATTTATAGACATGGTAGATCTTTATTTTTCCCCCTGCATGATTGTCCATGGATTTTTTTTTTAAGTGACAGTCTAAGTATCACCAGGAATAGAATATGAGCAGTTATTACCAAGAAGGGGTTAAAGCCCTTGCTTAGCAAATGCTGGGTTACCTTGCAGGTGTGTACATCCTTCCCGGATACCCAGTGGCTCTCACCTTGGCCAGACTCACTCCACCTTTGGAAAAGGCCTGCTGATGAGCCGGCCACCACATTCCAACACCCCAAAGGTAGGTTATGAAAGGACTTAGTATGCTGTAAAGGCATGAGTTTTACAGAACAGGTTGCATGGGAAAACAGGGCTCCATTGTGCCGATGAAATGGTTAGTCAGCATATTTGGTTCACCCATACCCCACTGACCCTGCAATGGTCAGGGCCCAGCGGTAAGCCCCAGAGCAATCACCTGAGGTCCCTAAAAGATTCATAAGGCTATCAATGTCCTCACATAGTGTGGTGTGTGAATATTACAAACCACAGTCAATCTCTGCAGTATCCTAGACCTGCCATGTTCTCAGCAGCCACGCTGGGAATGCAGCCAGGGCAGACTCCTGCTCAAGGGGCCTCCAGCTCTGTCTAGCTGAACTTTCTGAACTATGTCTAAGTTCTGCTGAGCCTCAGTTTTGCCCAGAACTGTGGAATTCATGCCCACTCTATTCTTTTAAAAAGCTGTATCCAGTGGTTCCACCATGTCTCAGTGTTTGGCTTGTCCACAAGAAACCTTAAATACTCAACTCCATGATAGCTTGAATGTGAGTTGCACACTTGGCCTCTGGGTGGTGGTGCCAGGTGGGGGAAACTTCAGGACATTGAACCTCCTGAAGGGAAGTTGATCTCAAGGCAGGAAGTGGGGATTTGAAGGCTGTACTAGTCGTCCCTGTCACTCCCTTCTTCCCTCCCCATCAGATGGTTCTTTACACACTTCTATCATGCTATTCTACCTAAGGGCATGGGGCCAGGCAATGACAGGTGGAACCTCTGAAGCCGTTAATTAACCTTTCTAAACCTTCCTTCCAAACTGCTCACACCAGGCACTCTGACATTAGCGATACAATATCTGACTGATGCAAAATCGGACAAATTAAAACAGGGAAGAAGATAGGTGCCAAGAAATTAGAAATTACTGAAAAGGATATTGTTATCAATTCAGCAGGCAACACACTGTTTTGCTTCTCTTGATCTAAAAAGTAGAGGCTGGGCTTCTAAAAGGGAAACTATCACTCCCAATAAATCCACCAGCTAGAAAGGTATGTTTTATGTGAACCAAAAACCAAGAGCTAAAAATTGGAAATGATCCAAAGGTCTATCAATAGGTGAAAGGTTAACAGCGGCATATTACACAGTGGTTGATACTCAGCAAGGAGACAGAGTTAGCCACCGACTCACGTAACACTGAGGGCAAAGCTCAAAGTAGCCTTTCCAAGCCAGAGGACCTGTCAGAGAAGGAGCACACATCCTAGGGTAGCATTTAGGCACGACTTTAAAACATGAAAACTCATTTAGAATGACATAAAGGATGCCAAGGTCTTGGGCAGAGATGAGGGAGGCAAAAGTGACAAGGAAGCTCTGGGTGACAGACACATTGTTGTGGTGGCTACAATAGCTCCAGGAGATGGACATCAGTCAAGCCAGACATGGTGGAACATTCCTATACATGAAAAGCATCGTTAGTCTAAATCACAAAAACACAATGAAAAACAAAGAGTTGGGTCAAAACAAAGAGTTGGGTCAAGAAAAGAACTACTTAATTTTGCATGTTAAATATATCGGTTAACTGGGTATCACTCATGCCTCAAGGAGAGTTGTTTATAAAAAAGAGTGTGAAGCACCAGGTCATGCTGCCTCTGCTCTGGTCCTCCTTCAAAACACAAGGGAAGCTTGTCCAGAGATGAGTACCTCACTTCAGGAGCAGGTAGTTCTCACATTACCCTTAGCCATGTGCACACTAAGCTCATGCCTTCTTTATAATGTCCTTGTGATTCAGTCTGTGTCTTCATACTGGGTACCTCAAATTTTTCTTTCACCTGTTACTTAAACCAGCTGGAAGATTGAGTGATAGACATGGAATCTTCTATATAGAAAAGACTAGCTTCAACCTCTCGGTCCTCCTGCCTCAACCATCTGAGTGCTACTATCATCAGTTTGATTTATAATGTTCATTTTTTAAAAATCTATATAAAAACATCTCTCCAGTCCAGATGTAGTGGTTGCTTCCTTTAGAATTTTGCGATGTAGATAACTAAATACAGTCTTTGTATGGACACCACAGACTTCCCATTCCCACGTAGATGGTGGTCACAGACTGGTTAACCCTGTTCTTTCCTTAGAAAGTGAACCCCATCAGAACTGACTCTCTGCTTTGATCATGCAGGAAAGGCGGTCCCTGCAATGCCAGAACATCGACATCAGCAGGCCCCTCAACACTCGAGCCATCCCTCAGCCCCAGTCACCTCAGCGAGTGCTCCCACCTCTCCACCAGGCCCCACGTGCACCCAGTGGCCCTGCCAGGCCCCTGCCTGCCAATCCTGCACTCAGGCAGGCCCAGGTATGCCTCCTGTGCTGACTTGGTGGGATGCAGTTCAAATCCAGGCTCTGATACTTCTAACATGTGAATGTGGGTAAATTGTTTAACATAGTGGCTGCATGAAGTGGAATTGGTTAATCAGATGGTTAACAGAGATAATCCACATACAGTGCCTATACGTAATTTTTAAAATATTCAGTTGTTTCCATGCCCATGTAATTTATCATCTAAGCCAGGACTTAAAACTTTTTCTACTGTGAGTGCTTTTTACCTGAGGAATTTTTATAGGACTCTGGGCATATAGATAGGAAATAATGGGAAAAGGTTAAAGTCTGTATTTTCTGTAACTAAGCCTTTGTTTCTGGGGGAGCAAACAACCTACATAAAGTAAAAGCATGGCCATTCCTAACAGTCTTGAATTTGAGATGAGGTGACCTTGTCAGTGTTTGTCAGTGGTACGTGATGTGATCGTTTGCATTGCATGTCCAGAACCAAGGCTGTAGTGAAGCCATGGGATGTGACATGGGCAAGCACAGCCAGACCCCCACAGATTTAGTACACCTTTGGCTTTGAATTTGCTTCTGGTTGCTGCGTGTTGAGTTAGTGACCCACAGTTGAAGAAGCTGGGATTTCAACTATAATATTTTGAGAACAGTTATGGCTACTGTTGGCAATATGAATAGTAAAACAATCATTTTTAAATGCTATTGTTATATTTTCCTGTGGTGTTATTTTTTAAACATTTATGATTGCATCTTTAACATAATTGATGTTATTCTCTATTCACATAACTTTCTAGACCGTGTTTCTGCTTTGTTTCTATATACTTTGCCAGTGCAGAGCCTGTAAAATGTTCTTTTAACAGCAACATGCGGCTTGGATGTGGAATAGATTTTGAAGTGTCTGTAAGTCAGTGGATGTGTTTGATAGCTCTGGATTTTGTTGTTTTGGTTTTTTTTTTTTTTTTTTTTTTTTTTTTTTTTTTTGCTTTTTGCGCTTTATGCTTTATAAACAGTTCTTATTTGGAGGAGGATCTGGACAGATACATTTTGGAGTTCCTTTAGGGAAGATACAAGTGAAATATCAAATTGAAAACACAAATCTTTAAGTGGCTGGACAAAGTTAAATGGTTAGAGTATTACATATACTTAGGTTCTCATATTGATACCTGCAAGGTCATGATGAGAAAGACAGAGATTAGGCATTCCAAAGCTTTCTGCCTAGTAATCAGTTCCTGAGAAGAGGGGTGCTGAAGAGGCCAAGGATTAATGTGCCTGGGCCCATCAGTTTTTGTTTCGATTTAAACATTTCTTAGTATCTGATGTTCATTTATCTACAGTGTTGTCTCCTCTGCATTTTGAAATTTTGGGCTGGGTAAATGTTATGTGGGATTTCCTTGGGCTTTTGTGGGAGGCTCAGCATCACTGATCTCTCTCTCTCTCTCTCTATCGACAATAACACTTGTAATCATGTTTTCATTATTGCTATCTCCTGAGGGCCAAAATTTGCCTTGATGGAGAAAAAACACCTCTCTGAAAATCAATCCATCTTTGTACCAGTATTTTATTGCTTCAAGAGGAATGTAGAATCCCTAGCTTTTAGGTCTCATTGGCCTCCTTTTTAAATGACTTGAAATCATGGCCTTTGAAGCTAGAAAAATGCCTCAGAGGTTAAGAGCACTTGTTGCTTTTCCAGAGGACCTGGGTTCAATTTCCAAAACCCACATGACTTCTGCAGGCTTGCATGTGGCGCACATGCACTTGGACACATGTATACATGCAAAATATTTTAAATGGACTTTATGGGCATCAAGAGCCACTTCAGATGGAATTTTTGCTTTCAGCCAAACAGACTCTTTAAAACCAATGAGGAGTTGATTATCTGAACTCATACATTGATCCTTTCAGCTTTTCCCCCTTCCTGGTGTTCTATATCTCACCATTTCCTTTCTGCCTGAAAGACTTCGATTTTAAGCAAGCCTTTTGTTGGCATACTATTAGCATCCCTTTGTGTGGGGATGTCTTTCTTATTCATGAAGGATATTTTTGCTGGGTATAAGAATTTTAGATTGCCCTTGGGGAGGGGTTCCTCCCATTTCATCTGTACTCTGAAGTGATAAGAAACCCACCAAGAGTTCTTTCTGTGGTCTCTGCTCCAGGAAAGTAATGTCACCAATCATTTGATGGGGGCGGGGGTGTCTCTGGGGTTGAGCTGGAATAAGAATCGTATGTGGTCAAATTATTTGTTTTTCTGGACATCCCTTGTCCCCCCAGGCTTATCACTACACAGAGGAGGCTTTCTTGAGTTTGTTTCTATTTCTTTGGACCATTTTGTTATGTCCAGATTATACGTACTTGCACATTTTATTTTCTCGTTCTTCCTTTTATACATCCTGGCCTGGGCTCTAGCATGCACCTATGTGCACACAGAAGGACCCACCACTGGGTAGTTCCTTGTTCACTGGGTAGTCTTTTTCTCTAATTTTCAATTTCTATCAATTGCTTGATGATCTTTGTGGTGCAAGTACCAAAAGGAATAAGGTAAGCTATGGTTCTTCCATCTTGTCACAAGCTCATTTCCTTTTTTCTGTTATTGCTGGTAACACTCAAACTACTTTATATCCAGCAGCTCTTTATGGGGGGGGGGAAGCTTTGACCTTCAGCTAATTTCTCTGTCCCAAGAACTTGCACCCTGACAAGTTCCAAGCAGTCAAGAACTGGGCACGGTGAGCTCACAGCAGTAAGCTCCATGTCACTGCCTAAGCAGTGTGCTGTGTGAATTATCCAGTGCTGCCCATAGCTGCTGCTTTTTCTCTTTTAACTTCACTGTTGAAGGTCTCCTTGGCTGACATAAATAGAAGTTTCCTTTTTGAAGGAATCCCTGTGCTTATTATTCTATCTTGACTTCTGACATATCAGGAACTCTGGTTTTGAATATTGAGTCAATGAATCTTTCCTTTTATGGAGCTCTCATTGCTTGCATGCTCACAATGCCCTCTCCCACTCACTACCAGTTAAGGATCCTTGTATGGTGTCTTCAGTGTGTTTTGTGGACTGCTGACAGTTCTCTCTTCCATTTGTTTTTCTGGCCTGTCTTGCTGTATCTTGCTGTAGGGCAACAGGCATATCCCAAACATGGCTGGGCTGTGGACTTAATTGAGAATCTGACAGGAGCTGTAAACTCCAGGCTGTGCACCAATGCTTTTCTTCTTCTCCCCTCCCCTCCCGTTTCCCTTCTCTCCCCTTTCTCCTTCCCTTCCTCCTCCTTCCCCTTCTCCTATTCCCCTTCCCACCCAACCCCCATCCATTCAGAGACCCCCATCCACTCAGAGGGGCCAAGGCCTTTGGGGGGGAGTTAACAAAGTCTGGTATACCAAGTTGAGGCAGGATCAAGCTCCTCCTCTTGTATCAAGGCTGAGCAGGGTATCCTACCATAGGGAATAGGCTCCAAAAGTCAGTTCATGGTCCCACTGCCAGCACCACTCACCCAACAGATCAAGCTACATAACCGTCACCTATATCCAGAGAGCCTACTTCGGTCCCAGGCAGGTTCCCCAGCTATCAGTGACAGGAAAAACATTTAATTGGGATGGCTTACATTTTCAGAGGTTTAGTCCAGTACCATTATGATGTAACATGGTGGCGTGCAGGCAGACATGGTCCTAGCGAAGGAGATGAGAGTCCTGTATCTTTACCTACAAGCAATAGGAAGTGGTCTAAGTGTCACACTGAGCAAAGCTGACCTCAAAGCCCACACCCACAGTGACACACTTCCTCCAACAAGACCACACCTACTTCAACAAAGCCATACTTCCTAATAATACCACTCCCTATGAGCTTATAGAGTGCAACTACATTGAAACTACCACAGGCTGGAAAGTCAAGGGCTCAAGCCCACCCTCTTCACCTGCAGCATTAACAGTGAATTTTTGTCTAACAGTTGTTAACCTGGTGTCTCTTTTTTGCAGAGCACCCGAGCTTTGCTGCAGAGAGGTTGGGAAGAGAATGTCATCCTATTAAACCATGGTCACCCCCATTAAGCCAGGTCATCTGGTGTCCATCCAAAGGTCCTGACTTGATTTCAGGGTTACTCACTGTAGACAAGAATCAAAGCAGGACTTGGGTTTCCATAACGACTCGAGTTTTCTTAAGGGGACAGATCACCTTCAGTCTTCTTCCTTCTCCTTGTGCTATGTTTTGATTCAATAATATCTTACTCTTATAGTTAACTGATCCTTTTAGGGAAGATGGCAAGTACTCATTTTATTCTATCATTGGAGAAAGGGGGGGTCACAGTGGCCCTGCCTGCCATGTTTCTGGCTATGGAAGACCCACTGGTATGTCAGCTTTGGTCAGTTCCATGATGTCTGCATCACTTTGGTGGTAACAGTTACAATCTTATCCATGGTCATGATTTCCACAATATTTTTAAGCCAGAAACAAACTCACTAGTTACAGTGAGCTGTATTAACGTGATCCTAGGACTTCAGTGGCAGCTCTGGCCTTCTGTGGTGATAGGCTCTAATCTTCCTATATGGAACCCTCAGGTAGTAGGACATAGTTACTGGAACCCTCAGGTAGTAGGACATAGTTACTATTACAGACTATGTGCAAGATGATAACAGGATGATGGTCAAGGAAAAGGGGTTACATTTTGATTTTGGCATGTTTGCTTTCAAAGCTGGGAGGAAAGGAGGAGGGATGGAACGTGCAATTCTGCAATGCATTGCTATCTGCTGGAACACAGATGGAAAGCAGAGATCCAGGACCCCATGTGACAGGCATAGAGGGACTTTTCTCCACAACCTGAGGGAAAAGGAATTATGTTTGAATTACAGACTAAAACATGTACCAGTATGAAGTTTCCTTAGTTCCTACAAGGGAGGCTGCATTTTACAAGGGCTACACCTCATATGCAGATATCTAGACTAGACCATGTCCTGACCATGGCAAAGGGTCAGCATCTTACATGTTTGTAGTTTTATCACAGGGATGAACATACAATTTGTCCTCAATGCTGAGAGCCATCTGAGAACATGATGAATAACAAGACTATGAGCATAAATTGAGAATATCTCAGGCAAGCCATAATTATCTTCTAAGTCTCTGTGATAAATCCAAATGCATTAAGACAGACTGCAACATATTTTCTTTCATACCAATAAAACCCTGGTGTTATCTTTATTGCAGGGACTTGATACTTAGTCATATTTAGCAGCAAAATTAATATTGCTTTATAAGGAATGATTTCATAACCTGATTCTTTTCGGGTTGAGTGCATGCTTTTGTTTTGTTTTTGTTTTTGTTTTGTTTTGTTTCATTACACATGGACATTGTGCTCACGGTTTTCTGTTCTGTGATGAGAATGGAGCTCAGTTTGTGTGTGGCCTTCATTACCTAGGGTTGCTAGGGTGAAATCACTGTCAATCACAGCTGTCAAAAGGCAGCAGCTCTTATTCACGGGTGAATGCATGCCAGGTCCCTGGCTAAGAGCTTTACTGTGTCAATCTTCATACCAAACCTGATGGAAGGCTGTTATCTCCACACATGCCCAAAAGCTCAAGACCTGAGTGTGCATAGTCGGTGTGTTCCTTACACCTACCTAGGGTGAGGTTTGTCTATATGCTAGAGCTTTCTCATATTTCCTTTTATGAAACCTGATATAGACATGTTACCTGTATGTCTGGCGCCTGTTCAATGACTCTCTCTGAGTCCAATCTGTCTATTGTTCATTCTTGGCACATCTCCCATACAGCTGTGGTTTGATGGCTTCTGTAGGAGCTCTACCATTTTGCAGGGAGCTGTTGGATGGTGGACATGGTGTTGTATCCTCTGAGCTGTAGTCTGTAGTTCAGGAGATGCGATTTTAGTACAAGCACTGTGGAAACATCACAAGCATTTGAAGTCATATTTAGATCATGATGGACACATGGTCTACTAAGTCCTGAGACAGGGCAGGCTTTGTGTGACTTTTAAAATGTGTTTTGCTGTGTAGCATCAATGGCTGGGACTAGAGGTGTGCCCCACCATGCCATAGTCATGAAAGTGAATCAGTTCATTTAATTACCAGGACATCCTATGCTATGGGAGACTCTACTCCACTCCTCGGGGTCCTTCCCCTGCAATGACAAGACTTAGAGGGCAAAGTGTCATGCTGACCAGACCTATCCGGGGCCCCAGGAGAAGGTGGACAGCATTTGTTGATTGGCACTCTCCAGGAGGTGGCTCAAGGGGACTTTTATTTCCATGAGGCCTTTAAAGCTTCCATACAAATTACTGCTGGTATAATAGTTATGTATGTGCTGGGAACATCTTACATGTTCTTTTATTTACACATCATAACAGGGATACAAGATAGGTTACTCCATGTCCCAGAGAGGTAGACTTGTGAGTTCCACATCAGTGGCCTTGGGATGTAAACTCAATGTAGACTAACCCTCGGGTCTTGCTCTGACTCCTTGGCCAGTAGCACATCATCCTGCAGTGTCCTCACAAATCTGTATCTGTCCCAAAAGTCATTGCAAGGCTCCTTTCCACAACTAGTACAACACACTGTACAGATTACAAAGCAGCCAGACTATCTTTTTTAGATCCTGACCCCAGAAGGACAGCTGTCTTCTGAATCTTATGCATCCCCAGTTCACCCAGTTCTTTATAAACCGGAGATTGTCTGAAGGCAATATATCATGCCCTGCCATCCACTGTACCCCTAAGACCTGTGAGATCAGATAACCCACATATGAGTGGACCTATGGGAATCTCTTAAGTGTTACAGAAAATTCCACATAAAGGCTGAAACCAGACCCTACTTTTTATTGTGGAAGGGTTATGCATCAGAGATGAAGCCAGGCCTATATAGCAACGTGTACTGCCTTCCATAATATTGCTGGGTCCCAGGGTCCAGCTCTAACCACAGAGCTGAAGAGTCACATGTGATCTGTTGTCTGTTGCAGGGCACCCACAAGCCCAGCCCTCCTCAGAAGCCTCTGCCTGCTGATCCTTTGAGCAGGACATCTCGGCTCACTAGTGCCTTGGTGAGGACCCCAGGGCAGCAGGAGCCCGGCCTTCGTCCAGCCCCTAACAGGTGGGTGTCCTCTAATGGTGTGGGGTAGCTGAAGTAACCACACTGAAAGACAGGTATCAGGTGTTAAGCCATGTTTCTTACTTTCCCCAAGCATGGGAAAGATGGAAAATATGTGTTAAAGGAAACAGACAATGCAACCTATACCTGTGCATGCCCAAACATCACCCCGGGGCTCTTGGCAATGGCTCACGTACTTGAGAGATCATAGCAGGATGAAGATGACCCAGGAAAGATGAGCTGCTAACAAGGGCCCAGCCTGGTCTCCTACAGGCACCAAGGAAAATGGTATATCTGTATAAAGGCAAGACCTCTACCACCCTCACCAAGACCTGTTCTGCCTACTCCAGGGGCTGAGATCCTAGTTCAGGTCAGGAGATTCTGGAGAAATGAGGCCCAAGCAGCTGCTCAGTATGGTGACCCTGGGGACTTCTCTACAGCTGAGTGGCCTGTGTAGACTTATCTCTGGCTGTGTTCAGCCCCCCCCCTTCCACAAGGGATGAGGTAGATGAAGCCCAAACTCTACTTATGCGGGGAGAGGTAACCCACAGCCATACTGAAGCTGGCTCATGCCTTTACAGCCTAGCCAATAATAAATATTAAAGTATCTGAAGTTGCATTTAAAACAGGGTAATAAATACTAAGGCATTGCTCCCAGACACTCGCTGCAGGGGTTGCTCTCATCAGGCATCTCTAGGGTAGAATCCATGGCCTGGCTAGGTGCTCTCCCATCTTCCACATTGGCTGGTGCCACGGTGTCGCTGGGACCATTGACAACATGGAAATCAGCTAATGCTGCAGCTCAATCTCTTCCTCAGTGAAATTATTTCCTTGTGGGTCCTGTGTTGTTTTGTTTTTCCTCACTTCTTGGACTAGAACATGCTAAGCAAGTGCTATATACCCCCAGCCTTGGGTCTCCCTAGTAGCCCAGGCTGACCTGAACCTTATTCTTTACCCTCCTTTGTGATGGGATTAAAGGAAGGAGCCACCATGCCTGGCCAGCAGATCTGTTAAAATCACAACCCTCTCTCCTGACTCACGTGCCCTCCAGCAGGCTGTGAGTGCTGCGAGCTAACCAGAGAACCAAAGGTACTGACTTGTTGGCCAGGCTGCATGCTTTGTAACTCCCATCTCTGCAGGGGAAGACACACGTCACTGAAACATTACAGCTCTTGGGAAGAATGTTGGCCTAGGAAAGAAATGGCTGCCTCATAAATCTCAGAGATAATGCTGGTCAAAGGGTCAGGACAACAGTCTAGTTCACCACTGTGGAAACGCAGAAAAAAGTCGCATAGCATTTGCGTTACTTTTTTATATTCTGCTAGATAAAACTACTACAGGGACATGATAGGGCTGACAGGGGAACACTCCATTCCAGAATGCCCACGCAGTGCCCTGCCTAACCTCTACTGACGGCAGCATGGCTCCCCATCTCTTGAGCTGTGCAGTGTGATCAAGTAGCCACTAGGCATGTCGGAGATGGTTAAAAATAAAATTGAAATAAGCCAAAGTGTAAACATGTGCCGCCAGATTTTGAGCACTTAACCTTGCCCCGTCGATTCTCCCAGCGCTTAATGCTGATTGCATACGAAGATGGCGAGACAGCAGTTAAGACAGAGTTCACCTATGCCACTTGGTTGTTAGAAACAGAGTCTGAGGCTGGAGAGAACAGCTCCAAAGTTAACATCACTTGCTGTTCCTCTAGGGGACCAGAGTTCAGTTTCCCACACTCACATTGGGTAACTCACAACTATCTGTAACAGTCCCAGGGGGAATCAGAAGTACCCACTTCTGGCCTCCACAGGCACCTGCACTCACAACTCACACGCAGAGACATACAGATAAATAAATCTAAAATGAAAAACTAGGAATTACCTGAGTGATTCCTATCCATTTTTCTGCAAATGGTGCTGTTCTAGAATCAACTCAAGCATGGGTGGCAAAGCTCCAGAGAAGGGAGATGTTCTGTCACCAGTCACTAGGAGTTCTGCAGTTAAGTCCTTGATGTGATCTACATTCTCTCCCAAAAGCTAGTCTGGGGGGGGGCAGTCAGTGGGCCCACCCGGTACAGCGGGAGACTCCTTTCCAAGCTTTTTTCTGTCTATACAATAACTTCTGAGAGTCTGACTGCAGTTTTGTTTTCTCCTCTCTGGCTTGCTCTTAATTCAGACCTGCTCCCAAGCATCAAGTGCCTAGATCTTCCCACAATGCCTACATCAAGTGACAAGCAAGACCAGACTGGTCCTCAGCAGTGAAGACAGAAGTTTGCACTATCGTCAACTCCAGCGGAGTGATTTTTTTTTTTTTTTTTTTGTACCAACTTTCAGAATTTTTAAAAGTGTTTAAAACGCCATTGTTTCCAGAACTTTGAGCTACTGCTGTTGGTGCTGTGCTGTGGTGCTTTGTGTCCTTGCTCAGGTACTTGTAAGTTATTAATTTATGCAAAGTGTCTATTACTGCGCAGGGCGCCGTAGCAGGCATTTGTACCATCATGGGTTTTTTTGTTTTTTGTTTTTTGTTTTTTTTTTTTTTTTTTTTCCCCAGAAGGCTTCTTGTGCTTTTCTTCTTCTGTTGGACTTGAAATATCCTGCTTGATGGGATCCAAGACAAAAATGTTTACTTTCTGTTTGAGGCCTTATTGGAAAACAGCTCTCCCAACTCCCAAGGCTGTGTTATAGCACCAGACACACAGCTCAGGAGACCCCAAGCAGAACTGGAATGGATCTTTTTTTTTTTTTTTTTTAATCTCCATCTTGGGCTGTATGTAGCCAGGGACTTCTGGAAGGTCTTGGGCCTTGGATACTGACAGAGCTTCAGATCCTGCACCCTGAAGCTCTCAGACAACTGGTAGAATCTGGCTCTGGCCAGCAGCTTTGGAGAGAACCTGGGTACAAGCAAGAAGGTGTGGCTACGCCAGGTTAGAGACTGGAACCCTAGTCCAGGTAGACATTTGACTTTGGGCTGAGCAGCCATGAACACCTTTGGAGGGCAAAGAAGTCTGTGGTGCTGTACAAGGCTTTGCTCCCAGCCAGCAGTAGGCTTCTCTCTGGCTGCCCTTTTGCTGGTGTGGGCATGTTGTTTACATCGGGAACAGCGGTGTTTCTACAAGAAACCCGCTGCCCGGGCACTGCAGACCTCTGTCTCCTGCCCCGTTTAAAGCTAAGCAAATTACCACATTGTCTTCTTGACTGTAATACAACGGCCCTGTGTTCTGACAGATAGAGGAGGCTTTCTATGGGACTGTAAACATTTTCAGATGTGAACTGGTAACCAGATCTAGTCAATCAACCCTGGAGATAAAAATCTCCATTTTACTGCAAGGCTCGACTTATTAAAAATTAGGCAGAATCCATATGCTCGCAAAAGCCATAACCACATGGAATGCTATTCTCATTGTACAGCCTGTGTCTGCTACCCTTATTAATAGTCATTGAACACAGAGACCAAAGTCACCCATCTGTTCTCTTTGGGGCATCCTATTCAAAACAGAGTCCCAGTCTTTCCCACACTAGGAACATACCTGTTAACTCATTATAGATGGCAAAGCAGTCAGTCAGTTCCCGAATGCTGAAGGGCTCATGAAAGGCAGGCCCAGCCGGGCAACCCTCCCATCTCTTACTCTTTCAGTGTCTGACTGGAAAGCCACCTTCAGGAGCTGATCTTCACAACGCCTCAACCTAATGTTATGGAAGACTTTTTAAAAAAAAAAAATCATGTTAAGTCAAAATGCCAGAGGCCTTAGCTGTATCCTGGCAGGGTGTGGGATGACAAACTCTCACATTAGCAGGTAACCGTAACCAACAGCGCTTCTGTAACATCTGTAACATCTGAGTGTGTTAGGGTCAGGCTTCTTTCGAAGGATCATATCAGTGGCTGGCCTGTGCCTTGAAGCAGAAGGGAAAATATAGACTTGGAATTTGGTTTGCTCTCCAGAATTCAAAACTGTATTCAGCTTTGGGAAACATGGCTTTCATGGTGGTGGGTAAATAAACCCACATCGCAGATGTTATGAAGAGCTCTCATAGCCTGCCTCTCTTCATGGCACAGTGACAATACTGCTGCCACTGGGACACGCACAGAACTTTTGTACCTGATGTGACACTGGGTAGTTGGAGTAAGGCCAAACACACACAACTGGAAAAGTTGCAGAACTGTGTGAACAGTCTCTCGAGACACTCAGAGCTTCAGCTAGAGCATCTGAGCCCACCCTTTTTTGGGATGGGAATGAGAGGAAAGCTATGAACCCAGATTTCTTCCGTCATTTCTGTCCTTTTGGTTTGGGAGGACCAGGGAGAGTTTGGTTTAAAGGAAGTTGGAACTGTGTGTGATCTTCTGCCATCTCCCCAGTGGCTTCCAAGGGTGCTGATGGTGCCTTCCTAGCTGAGAAATCATTAAAGGAATGCCTCTAAGATATACAGTAGTTATCAAATAAAGCATATTTATTTAGCAATCCTCGAGTTTAACAAAACTTAGGAACCAATAACCAACATTGAGGCTTATTGAGAGTGGGTAGTTTTTCACTTTTTCTACATCCTTTATATGACAGAGACCAAAATTAATACTCACAGTTTAATTTCAGTCTATCTTTAAAGCACACTATAGACATGATTAGAATTGGTTGAGTTTTGTGAGAGCATCCCTGAGAAAGCCCAGTAGAGTGGTCCAGTGCCTAGACATGAGGCACGGCTGGATGTTCTCATTCCCTTCCTATATCAAGGAATAGTTATAGGTGATGTGACCCCACTTTATAGACAAGTGGGAGGTGAACCTTCCTTCCCAGCATTCCACTCCAAAGCTGATCCTCTACAGTATTCCCAAGTCTGCTTTCCCAGCACATGAGATCAGATGGAGAGCAACAATGCAGCTTTCCATTTCAAAATATGCATGCCGAGTTTGCACTCTCTGAGTGTTTCCAGCTTACACATGTGGGATGACATCACAGAAACCACACAAGCAACAAATTAAACTCTACGGGAAGAAATACTCCTGACTGGTCTCCAAGGAGATGTTTTTATGCCTTCTTAACTTTATTAGGAATTCTCAGGCTGAAGCTATGGGTCATTGTTCTCCAACAAATCAATACATCCCATCAATGCATTCCCTAAGAACTGCCAAACCCTGAGCTGTGTTTGAATGTTCTTAGGAGCCTGTGATCCCCATGGTGCTACAAAGAGGCTGGAGCTGAGCCAATGAGAAAGCCTGAGCATCCTCCTGCCTCTCAGCAGATGTTTACTAAGCACTCTGAGCCAGCGCCACCCTGACAACTGGGAGGACAATGGCTGGGCAGTAGGGCGCCTGGCCTTTCCTCCAAGGCTCTTTATGTTCTAATTCTCTTAGATCAGGCCAGCCCAGGGACACTTTGTCCTCCCCCCCCCATCCCTGCTCTTCTCAGATGGCCTCAATCATACACAAATGACCCAGACTAAGAGACACCAACAGAACCAAGAGCTGGGTATTTTGAGCAGCATGTCAAGTGGGTGAGGATACTACAGAGGCCATTTTTCTCTCTTCCACTCATACTAGAAGCTAACCCTCCATTCCTAGTTCCACCGCACAACTTAGCAGTGGCTCCATCACACCAAGTACACAGGAAAGCATAGGCACCAATTTGCCTTCCTCTCTTGCCAATCACAAGTGCCTTACTCTGGCCAGATCTCATGCCAAAGCCTCTCTCATCCAAGAGAGCCAAATCTCTACCTTTGTCACTACTTCAAGCCAAAGTGGTGACTACTATAGGGTGTGGCTACCCTTCAAGCTTCATCTACCAGACAGTACAGTCCAATCTTCTCCAGGGCCATAGCACAGAACAACCCTCCAGCACACACCAGCCTTGACTCTATCCCACAGCATATCAACCACAGTGACCTCCCTCCTAATGCCTTGCTCTATTTAGAAGATGAGGTTGGCCATAGAAAACCAAGTTATCACTGACTGCAAAATGCTGTTGCTGCAACCTGAATTTCCTACTGGCATCTTTTGCTTTTAAACGCTGATGAAGTAAGTGATTCTCCCAGATCTGTGAGCCCCATGCTTAGAACCACTGGGTAGTGGGGAGCCCTGCAGGAGACATTTGCATAGATATTAGATGTAAATATATCATTTCGTGCCTTTTGTGGAGAATATACAAGCATACATGCATACACACACACACACACACACACACACACACACACACACACACTTCCACTAGGAAAAGCAATAGGAGTTTATTATCAAACCACTGCAAGATTTTCTCATGAGAAAAACTAGGAAGACAAATGCTGCATATGGAATTATTGGGATGCTCAAAAATGAATAGAGATTGCCAAGATGCCAAACACTTGATAGTCATTTTCAACTGGAAAAATGATTTGGCTTCTGCAAGTTGAGAGCCCCGCCACCTGCTTGCCTTTCTGTACCTTCAAAGTGCGTGTTCCGTGATATGTCATTCTCCAAGAAAGTAACGTTTTAGTCCTTAATTTAGCACATTTAAATTGAGACAGATTCAATATCATGTGACTTTTTTACAAGCAAGTGAAATGCTAGTTCATCTTCCTTGGCCTGTATGTTGGTACTTCATAAGGCAGTGACCAGAAAACACACACACACACACACACACACACAGAGCGAGAGAAAAAGAGAGAGAGAGAGAGAGAGAGAGAGAGAGAGAGAGAGAGAGAGAGAGAGAGAGAGAGAGATATCTCATGAGGCTCCAAGGAAAGACACTTAGAACTCACAGTCCTATCAGGGCAACTTGGTAGTGGTTGGGAAGCCAACCATTTGAATGTTTGTGGCAACAACCAACACAACTCTAACTGGCCATGGCTGCTTAGCTCCTTTCTGATTAACGTTACATCTCGGTTAACCCACAGTCATTCTGCAGGGCTTCATCCACTGATAGCGCTTTGATAAACTCATGTTTTCACATTTGTATGTTACATGCTGTTATTTTTGTATGCATTTCTCATATGGGGGATCTACAAGTAAATACAGCCTACTAGTTCAGTAGAAAATGTCATTGTTAAGAATATTATATCCAATAAATGGTAAACAGATAAACATTGGGTGTCTCATTTGTTACCCAGAACGCTATTGACACTAAAACAAGGGAATAGTCTTGTGCAGAAAACTATACCTTTGTTCATTCATAAGTGTAAGGGCATCTTGGAGGAGAAGTGCTGAAGGACCAAGGTGTGCTTGCTGCCAATCCTGAGAACTAAGAAGAAAGGAAATGCCTGTCAAAACACAGAACAGGTGAGACGAGGGAATCTGATACCATTTTGAACAAAGTAAATTCATAATCCAGACAAATTTTTTAAATTCATTTTACTTATAGAAAAGATCAAAAAGTAAGCAATCATAGAAGAACCACATTGTCAGCAAAGAAAATCTAAATGTGATGGGTATATACTTACACATTTTAAAAAATAGCATCCAACTCCATAAAGAAAACTGTAGAAAATAAAAATATTTATCTCATATATACACATATATGTATATTCAAAATTATAGCAAAAATAAAGGACTCTTTGTTCTTACCACTTAACCCAAGACAAAGCAAGTAGGTTTTATGATGTCAGCGGGTGACTGACAAATCAAACTCACATGCAGCAAGCAGGCATTCCAAATGCACAGAATCTGACCTCTGCCCTAGTGCCTCTCAGGATCAAAGAATCAACCATCAACAAACAGAACCAACAAAGCAATTGTGTGCCCTAGAAATAAGGGAATTCTTCAGCCGCCTAGAGAA